ATAGTATTTAATATTACGTATGACGAGGAAGTGAATTCTTTAAATAGCTGCTGCTATACTAATATATGAAAATGGTCAACGATACCTGATGAGACTACAGACGTTTAACGAAATTAGGAAGCAACAGTTTTCAACTCACCCATATACAGTATATGACATAGATAATATTCACAACAGAATTAAACATAATAAGATAGTTTTAGTATATCTGCACATAAAATTAATGAACGGTATGTTTAATATTTCAATATTTTTGTAGTAAAATATTGAAGCGATTTAATTCCAATCATAACAGATTATAAGATCGAAAGCACATTATCAATGTATACGAAATAATTTTACAATAAAATATAATGCTCTTTATTAAAAGTATACAGAAACTTATTTAGAGGTAAAAACGTATACAGAAAAAAAAATCATTGAGCATATTCAATATAAATATTCACAAAATAAAAAAGTAAATAATTTACATTTATTTATTAATGAAATCATATTATTAAAAAATATTAGTTAACAAGATTATGAATTTAAACTAATTAAATATTATTTCATGAAAATTTATTAATGTTTGATAATCAAATACTTGTGCAGTATCTAAATATTACCGAGTGAAAATAATTAAAAATTCATATATAAGGGTCTGTAGGATATTAAATATGAAACTTATTCTAAATGCCTGTTATAGAATTATTATATTATAATAAAACAAATTAATGTTGTTAACATCCATTATAATTTTGAAATTGAAACGCAACAACTTATTTAAATTTTATGTATATAGATATAAAAAATTTAATTAATTATATTTTAAAATCATTTAATACATCATATTTTTGTGAAACAGTTAAAATAGAATTATTATTAACTATCAAGTCGATTTTTGACACATATTACCTATAATAAATAAATAAATAATAAATAATAAGTACATATAAACTATTGCAGAAATATGAATATTTTATTAATACTTATAAATATTCTAAATTAAAAGTAAAGTATAAAAAATAAAACACGTGAAGTAAATCAGTAATAAAGCAGTGTTAGTTTATAAAATTGACGAAGTTATATTTAAAATATTTTTTTTTATTTTCAGTGATTAATATTAAAATATTGTAAAAATTGGATAAGTTACATAAATGATAATCTTAGTATGTAATATTATCATTCAGTACCTTTTTGCTCATATCCCTTGTAATATTTGAATTATTAATTTTTTTTTATTCTATTTTGGCATCACATATACATTCAAAGAATATAAATTTAATCAATATTAAAACTTTTTTGGATTTTCACAAACGTCCAAAAAGTAGAGTTTAAATAAAATGAATTAAATTTTATTATTTTATACTCAATTAAAAATTAAAGCTTAACGTTCTTTGAAAATTATTTTAATTTTAAAATTGTCTGTCACGAAGTAATTTTAAACATATTTTAAGAATTATATATACATTTAAAATAAATGACAAAGTTGATTTATAAAACAACGAAATCATAAATAGTTTAGAAATATATTGTATTGTACAAATATTATGCCTGCATTACTAAATTTTAATTAATAGAGTTTTGTACTGCTACGAAAGTGGGTTAAAAATCAATTTATTTTATTTTTTTTTTTTTTGAAAATATAACTATCGATCTTCAATACAATTAAAAAAAAAAAATTTATTAATAAACATGTAAAAGAAATATAAAAGTATATTTTGCCGAATACACAATCAATGCTATGAAATATCCGTATACGTCTGTATAATAATAAAATCCCGGTATAACAGATTTCCAGATTGATGTGTGTATAGATAATAATTTGATAAAAATTTTATTAACCTGAGAATATAGGATTATACGAAATAAAATTTATTTTATATATAAAAAATAATGTATATGTAAAGCTCTTGATTCATTTAGTAAAAGAACCATTGTTTTTATAAAATTTTATAAGTATAATTCTCGTTTGAGTTATATTATAAAATTTATATAAATTCTTCAAATTTCAAGATTGAAACTTTATCATAAAATGAGTTATTTTTGGAAATAACTAATTTTAAAGCTATATATAATATCTTCTAACTGATATTAAGTTGATTATAGGGTAATCTTTATTATTGTTAATTATTTTTAACCCTTTAAAATAAGTAATAATTGTTTGATAATTTGAGTAAACATTCAACTGAAAATTGTTTATTGATCATTGTCATCAAATATTAACATTAATAATGAAAGTCAATATTTATATAATGACACATTGCTTAAAATATTATCATGCAGGTTTCAATAAATCTATTTTAATATTTCTGTTGATGGCCTCCAAGAAATTTTTTAGTATTATACTATATGATAATAATAATAATTATTATAACTAATGGATATAATAATGTATTAAAATATTAAAGCTATTATATATAAATATAATAGTCACTATTGTAGCAAATGACTTATTTAATGAGTTATATATTTATTTATATAATGAGTTATTTATATAATTTATTTATATATTTATATAATATATATTTTTTATATAATATATAAATAATAATATATAAAACTTATTTGTATAAAAAATTTATATAATGATTTAACTTTTATTCTGCTATTAGATGCAAATTAGTATTTTCTTTTCGTATTCCAGCTGTATTTTTATAAATATATATATAATATATGTATTTATATGGTAGTTAAGTTTTATATTTACTATAATGATATTCAATTTTAAGTACTCGTGTCTGTATAGATTTTAAAAAACAAATTGTCATTCCAAATAGTATTCACATATACTACCATATATACAGTCACAATATAAATTTTAAAATCCTCATGAAAATAATCAGTGTATAACTGGATAATTTATTTCTGTCATTATTTTCTATTCATTTGCATATAATATTTTAATGTTAACTGTAAATATTGAATGAAAATATACATAAAGCTAAATGTAACTTCTAATTTGGTCTCAGACGTCATGATATGAATATAAAAATTTTATGTAACCTCATTGAAATAAAGTAGGAATATATCGGCGTTTAATCTGTATCTAATGTAATTGAATCACCACTAATTACTATTATAAGATGCGAAAAATACGAATTACCATTTTACATTGTAAAAAGAAAGTTTTATATGATGATAATTAATAATATTATATAAAATATCACGAGCAGTTTAGTTAAAAATTATAAATATTATTCTTGAACTTTATCAGATACAACATTATCGATTGTAATCTGAAAAAATTACGATTTAAAATATGAATTTATAATGAATAATATGTTGAAATCTCAAAAACAGTATTTTGTACATAAATATAACAAATATACAAATAGATTTCTTTCTCTCACTTTCTTAATCGTTAACTCGTTATCTCTTTCGTCGTTTTATCTCCAACACTCTCCCTCCTCTCTCACTCCCCCCTCGCTCTTTTAAAACACAGATTTTGTGATACAAATATTAAATATAAAGAAATGTTCATGTGTCATACAATTCGTATAATTTATGAAAATTTAAAAATTATTAAAACTAAATTGAACTAAAAATATTAAATTGAAAAATATGTGCCTTCAACATAAGTATTTTAGACGTTTAGCATTACCTTAGATGTAAAAATATATTTTAATAATTTATGTACTAATGAAATAAATTAAAAATTAATGAGGACAAAATTTTTAAATAAAATAATAATGAAATCTCAAAATAAAATCATTGTTAATAGAAATAAATTTATATTCATGTAAAGGTTGAAAATATTTTTATGCAATAGTTTAAGTACATTGTATTAAATAAATCTATGAATTTACTATATATTTATTAGTATTACTAATAAATATTTTATACTATATAGTTTTGGTTTTCTTTTCATTTTTATTGCTTCATAATAGATCTTTATTTATAAAACAATGTAAATTACATTATAAATTTCATAATGTTTCATAATCTATTTTATTTCTTTTATTGACATTTCTTATATATGCCATTAAAATATATTGTATTAGTATTCGATATTTTTACTTAAAATTGTTACTATATAAATATATGTTATATGTATATATATATATATATATATATATATATTTCTCTACATATTATAGTATACATTCTAATATTTAAGAGCCTACAATGTTAACTTTATATCTCGTAATGAGTACTGCATTGAATATATAATGAATGATGAATAATATTATATTTCAATGATATATTCATTATCATATCTATTTGCAAATGTATTTCTAGTTGTAATGTATTATAATTTATAAATTTTAGCATTTCTTTTTAAATATACTTCTGTATATCGAAAATATTTAATAAAATATGTACATGAAGGAAATAATACATTAACCTATTGTTATTGATTATTAGATGATATTTAAATAAAAATTGACATAAACAATATAATGTATTGCTTTTGTTTCTAGTATTCAAAAATAAATTGAAATTAAATAAAAATTTTAACTTTCATAGAGTTAAAGTTTTTATGTTATTATAAATTTTGTATTATATCTTAACTTTATAATTTAACAAATATTTTATACATTAGTTCAATCAAAACCAATCTTGATGAAAATTTATTCCATTCTAGAAATACTAGCTTTTAAATACAGTATTATCTACTAAATGTGTAATTACTATATAAAAGTAATTACAGTTATTGCATTTTACATATACTATACTTATTTATCAAATCTAAGAAAACTGTTCATTCTATTTAACTGACAAATCAAAATAATTGAAAAAAATCTAATAATTTATATAATTTCTAATTAGTCACATATTTATTTATTTGAAATTTTCCCGACATTTCAAATATAGTCTTATATATGGATAGGAATAAACAATATTTATTGTAAATATTGTATAAATTAATAATATAAAATAAACGCCAAAAATATATACAGTAAAAATATCAGATGTGTATCATCAACGTACCCGAGAACAAATCATTTTTCGTTCTATGAATTTTTTAATTTCTTAACATGTTTACAAATGTTTACTTAATTTTCCGTTTATTACAGATTCATGATTAGTAAAATCTATTCCCAAGAATGAAGTGTTTAAAGGGAGTCCTCTTCATATTCAACCTGCTTATATGGGTAATATTATATTTTATGTAATACGTGAGTTTTACACACATAAATAGGGTATGATCTTAAAATAACTAGATTAACATAGGAACTAAATCATTCATCAAAGTTAATAAATTGTAATGTTTAAATGATGAATATTTCTGAAAAAAAAAAAAAAATTGTGAAAATCATTTGATCCAGTTCTATTTTAATTATATCAAAAATATATTACAAAAGTTTTTCAATAACGTCGGAACTTCTAAATAACGAAATATATTTTCTTTAAAATATATAAAAATATTTTCAATTTCATTACAAATCAACACATTTAACGTAATGTCTAGTAATTCTTTAAATTTAAAATCAATTTTTTTTTTAAAGATGTACTTAATAAATTATATTTATTAATAGCTTTTTTTTAATAATTCTTTTTCTCATTTCGAATTTTATATTCAAACAAATTTTTATTTTATTTAACGAAAAGTAAAACCGAATAATCTATAATCTAATTTAATAATCAAAACATTTATTATTTTAAATTTATTATTGGCATTGATTATTATAAAAAAATATCTCTTTTTAATGTTGCATTACACATTTTATTAAATTCTTGATTTTATCAAAAATAATTATTGTACTCTACGAATCTTGTGCGAATATATATACAAACATAAAATATTACTTTGCATCGATTTTTCTAAAAATATAATATCATAAAATATGGTATTTAAGATATGTCTCTGAATAATGTAATTATTGTTATAATATTGAATGATTAATTTTCATTTATCGAAAATTGATCGGAAATTAGTTTATAAAAAATTAAAGAAAAATAAACGAATAAGCTTATTATTATTATATTTTTATGGACAGGTGTTCTTTATTATCAGTAAGAAAATTTTTGTTTAAACATGATTTTGTATTCACAAATATATTTGTGACAAATTTCCAAATTATTAAAAAACAAAAATCACTTTGATATGACAGTTTAATTTAAATATTTAATATGTCACTTTTCATAAAATATTTCCATTATTAATGTTTAATTTCATTTAAATAACAAATTTATGGTTTTTTTGTTCTCATTTTCTTAATTTCATCATGATGATGATTTGAACTAGTATTTAAATTTAACCTTATAACAACATTTTTTATTTTTTATATTTTTTTCTACTTTAGATTCCTCTGCAATTGGCCTCATTTGCGTATATATTATTGCGTTAGATGTATTTTAGTAAATTTTTAAAATATGTACATAAATGTAAAATTTTTTAAATTTTCTACTTTAAAAGTATAAATTACATTATTTTTTATTTAGTTATATTCAAATATTGTATATTTTACATTTTACGTATTCAACTATAACGAATCTCAAGCATATCTTCGTGTATTATATGCCATACATTAATTATGTGTTTTTAGTAGACAAATTCTGAGATTATTTAGCAATTGAAAATGATCTTGCATAAATAATAAGTAAAAATAATGAATATATGACATCGATGTTAATGCGTTGATATGTCGAAGCTCACCTCAAGAAAATACTTATAATTTTGTTTGATGAGTATACATATTTCACACAAGTTTCGTCAAATAGCACATAAATTTCACTGGATAAATAGTAATCATTTTTTTTACAATGCAGCCAATAATCATTCTTCTAAAGTTGCACTTCATTCTACATTAAGCTTGTTGTTTCTTCAGTTGTCAGGGTGCACTGTAATGGTGATCGGAGCATGGTTACTAATGGAGCCGAGCAAAGGACATTTGCTTAATATCTTCGCCCCTCACGCAATTCCCACGGAAACAATTTATTTTGTGGCCTACAGCCTCCTCGCAACCGGCTTCACGATACTGATCGTTAGTTTTTTCGGCTGTCGTGTAGCCCTACGAGAGAGCCACTGCATTCTCGTTATTGTAAGTCTAACATCCTATTTTTCCAACTTTTATGTCCAACATCGACGATATGAGAACGATGTAAATATATTATTTTTTTAGCCTGTTTTTGTTCAAAAGAAAAAATAAATAAATAAAATACAAATACTTTTAAATTTTTCTTTGAGTAATTTCGTCTCTAATTATGTTAATATTTTATGTTATTTTATGAAAACAACATTTCATTAGTTTATTTTAGATTAAAATATTTTGTACCTATTTTATATTATTATATGTTAAAATTTGTAATGTCTTCTTCAGCCATAATAATGAATCTCATTGACCCATTATAACTTCTATATTAAGTAGAATACAAATTCATGATTAGATAATTTTTTAAAATAATATTTTTTAAAATTTGATAATGAAATTTTAATTACTAATATTTCAGTTACTTCATTACTAATATTTCAATGAAAAACATAACCATAAACGATTTTATAAATTTTATAAATTTATTGAGTATAAAAGTTTTCTTGTAATAATAGCAAATTTCTTCGATTGTGATAGTTTATTTTGTAATGTACATAATAAATAGAATAAATGGAATAGCAACATATCCATACATATCGAAATGAATGTAAATATAAGTATATATTGGAGAATAACTAAAATGAGTAATGCTATGAGAATTCTTTTTTCAAATGAGAAATTTAACATAACAAAGCAAACATAACATTTACAATTCTATAACGTATAAACTCATCTTTATATATTTTATTTCACCAAAAGTTTCATTATCTGAAATATACGTTCTATTTATTTTGCCAGAATACTATTATTGTATGATTTATTTAAATTAATTAGCATCATATAATTGTAAATATAATATATTATATTGAGAATTTTTAATTAAAAAATAATTAATACATAAAATATATCCATATTAAAATGATAGAAAATGTTACATATATAAAAAATTTAATTTCAATATAAATTTTATTTTAAGGTTAATTAAATTGCAGTCGATTTTAAAAATCAGAATTTTTATATTTAAAGTAAAAAATTGAACTTCTTTATAACGTAAAATGAGTTTTGAAAGAAATTTATAAATTATGATAATTGAGATATAGTTATTTCTATATATATATAATATAAATTATACTGATGTTGGCCTTATTTTATGAAAGAAGAAAATTTCAATCTTTGATTAACGTATAAGTATATTATTATATTCAATAAATACATAATAGAATATTATAATTAACAAAGATATTGTATACATGTTAAATATAATGTAAGACTATAAATGTAGCTCATTTCAAACAATAATTGTATTAAGCTGTGTTTCTAACAAAATACCTTCAGTGGAAAGTATTAATAATCTGAGATAATTTTTAAGTTATAAGAAGAAAATAAACTTAATAAGACTTTCTATATAGAAAAAATATTTAATTCATTAGTAAATAAAAATGTATTTCAAGTACGGGGATTTTATCTCATTTTGAAATACTTGCAATCATATAAAATTGATTAATCATAATAATTCAAACACCTCATTCTGAAAATGATTAGTATCACAAACATTAAGAAAAGACTTGCAAAATTAAAAGATCAAGTATCTTTCATTAATAGTTAAATTTATCATCCTTCCGCTTTCTATCGATTTTTCAAAATTTACTATTGCTTCTCTGTTATACGCATGCGTGTCAATATGACCTATTAAGCAACTGTGGTACGTCGAATTCATAAAAATGTATGCTCTCACGCATAATTCTGGTTATTCGTAAGTTTCTTTTGAATAAATAAATATCTTCTTATACATCGTATAAAAGTATTTTTCAATTTTGACGACAATAATTTCAGCCAATACTCGTTGCGCTTTTTTAATTGATTATGATTATTAATTGACATGATTGCGACTGAATCTATAATAGAAATTTTTAATATTTAATTTTATATATCAGTGTAAATTTTTATATGTATCAATTTTATTAACATATATTCAACATATTTTTGGATTATTCGCCTTTATTAATAAATAATACTATTTTATTGTTGCATACATTATTACTATGAGGAGGCTGATTATTTACGAATATGAGTTAAAAATTGAATACAATTTTCGTTGGAATAGTTATAATATAATGTCAATGTACTTGAATTGAGAAGTTCTCAAGACTTTTTAGATTTACAAATGAATTATTTAACTTTAAATAATATCACTTTCAAACAATAAAATAAATTCACATTTTACAAGAGAGCGATTGTATGTATTTCGATGATACTGAAACATATCGTTTATATTTCAAATATTAAAATTTCATGAAAACTTAAAAAATTTTTAAACAAAATTAAATTTTGTATTATTTGAAATTTTTTATTATAAAATATTACTAAATATTACAAAATTATTTCTAAGCTTTAAGTATAATTAATGACATTAAAAAATCGAGCCTAAAATTTGAATATTAGTACTTCATATGTGTCGTATATAAATGTATTTTGTATATTTTAATGAATTTCCTTAATTATCAAAGTCAATTTGTAAATTTCATGCAGAGAAAAATTCAATCGAATAATAGATGAAGTAATATATAGATTATTTTAAATTAATCCTTCGTCTAATAGAAAGCATTTGTTGACGTAGCATATTGGATCGGTTTTTACGTACAAAGAGATTTTCAATTTTACCAGATTAAATTAGATTGTGTCTAAATTTTAAATTACGACACATATTGCAACGAAGTAAATTAATTATTCTTATTTTTGTTCTATTAAATATTGATTCTTTTATAAAATAGCAACATAAAGCTATATAAAATATCTTCATACGATAACCAGAATACAAGTAAATTTAACCAGGGCCAACTATAAAAATCTATATTATACGTCACTCATACATCCAAACATTTATATGACAAACGTCACTTTACATCTTTATCTTTTAGACAGCATTAATAGTCATTTCACTCACGATCATTCAATCTCCTATCTCTACCAGTCCATTTTTATGTATAATCGATGACTTTCTAATATGCATATATTAGAACGCATATATAATAATATGCATAACTATTACAGTATATGAGCCTGTTAATAATTCTGATCGTTACTGAGTTGGTGACGGCTGCTGTCCTCGGCATAATGATGTATCGAGCGTTGTCAGGGTTGGAGGTCAGGCTGATGGAGCGAATGTCTGAATATTACGGGTACAACGTTTCCAGTGACGTCAGCTTCACTCATAGTCTTGATTATGCTCAATACAAGGTTGGAAATGTGTTGTTCTTACAATCTATTGCAATTATCTGCTAATTACGTCTTATAATTTACAAAATTTTTAGCAAATTATCAATCTCGCCTTTTTATTAGTAATCTTACATTTATGTTTATAGTTAAAAGTAAATAATTATGTTGATTTATAGGAAAACTAAACTAGACGACGAAAATTTAAAGATAATCTGTAGCTAAAATTATTATGTTAAGTAATTATTAAAAATATACTTATATATTTTTTATAAAACAAATATTAGCACTTTGTATGAATGGTATCGTTGATTGTAATAAGAAATTTTCTGTTTATACTTTATTATATAATTTTAAATCTATTTCATTTATTTTCAAACTATTTAATAAATTTATATTATAATTTTAGAACATCAGAATAAAATATTTTACTGTAGAAACAGAAAAATGATAATAATTCGTTAAAGTTCTACTCATAATTATTTCTAAAATTGTGATTATATAGTTTGAAAGTAAATAAAATAAGTTAGTAGAGCGTAGAATTTTTTTTAAATTATAACAACTATAATTTAATATCTTAAATGAAAAAATATTCGTAATATGTATAGCTGTAATTAAGCAAAAGAATATTATTCTCAGTACTTTAACTTCATTTTTAATGTTAAGGTTAATAAATAGGAATAATCCATTTTATACATTACAATAATTCATATTTTACACTTATAATTTTTTAGAATTGTTTATCTTATTGAAATATGTTGTTCCATATTTTAAATTTCCATTTAAATATCTTACAAACTATGCACTTCATTATCAAGTATAATTCAATTAATTATTGTAGTGATTACAAAAATGCAAATACTTTTATACAATTATTTAAAATTTTTAAAGAATCCTTAATTTTAAGAATTATATAAAATTACTATAATATTTTTTAAAAGATCTTATTAGTTTAAGTTAAAATTTTAGATTACTAAATACATTACTTAAATAAATTTTATGTATTTCCATATATTCTGGATGAAATAAAAATTTTTGTGAAATATAATAAATTTATATCTCACACTATACATGTTACATACAGTGCTGTTATTATATATATATATATATATATATATATATATATATATATAAATGAAAAAAATATATAACTTTTTTTATTTTATAATGGTTTTAATGAATATGTTATACTAGATAATAAATATGTAATACATAATTTATAATCTGCTTGAAATAAATTCTACAAGAATATATGAATTATGTTAAAATATGTAAATTTGATTAATTATTATATCCTTTTATAAAGTTATACGTGCTTTCAACTTATTTATTGTAGATAAAGTGATATTCAAAATTAGGATCAGTTCTAATGGGAAATAACCAACGTGCGTGTTAAATAATTTCTGTTGTAATTATTATAAGCAATTGTTTGAGCGCCGAGGAAAATGTTTGATGTGTTTAACCAAGTTGGCAGAAATAAACTCCAAAAAATGAGAGAATTTGAATTTTCAGCTTGCGTTGTTAATTCAGCATTGTCAAACCATAGAAATTCAAATAACAATTTTTGGTTAAATCGAGTACATAAACAAACCTTGATTAACCCTACTGGCTTTGCAGTTCAACTGCTGTGGTATCTACAGCGATAGGGATTATAATGGCACAGCCTGGTGGCGAGAAAGTCACTTTTCCGGGGGGAAGAGGCAAGTGCCCCTAACCTGCTGCATATTTAAGGAAGCCGAGGTCAGCCTTCATCCTTGTTATATATTAATCGACTTTTGGGGTTTAGATTGTTTATTAATGCAAAGCTTGCATGAACGCTAAGTTGATCGGATATATTAACTTTGATTATTTGAATCTCATAATATATAGTTAGTATTCATCCATACATTAGATGACCTGTCATGAAAAGATATGACAGTCTATTTATTTTTATAAGAGCTGTTAAATTTTTTTAGAATTTTATATATGTCTGTATATACTCATAACCCGTATAATTTTTCGTAATATACGATATAAATAAATTCATTTATGTGTTATGATAATTATGAAAATTTTTAAGAATTTTTGCAACAAAAATTAAATATATTCAGTAAAAATTACATATATTTTTACTGAATAAATATAAAAATTAATTTGCACAATTAGAAATATTTGAATAAATAATATTTAAAAATAGAAACTTTTTTAATACCTTATTATTAATGAAACAAATTTTAATAAAAAAAATTATTATCTACCTACTACTTCGACTATATGCTTTCCTTGTGAATCCTAAATTTAAACAATTTATAAAACTATATTTACATAAATGTTTTCTTTATAATATTTTATCACTATTATTTTTCATTAAAACATACAAAATTATATTGCTAAAATGAATTATCATCTTTTTTACTTAAAGATTAAAAATACTGGTAGCCCAATGAGCGTCGTTTCAAGGGTATTTTATAAAAATGTGAGTTTAACTACTGCATACAATATAAAAGAAATATTTATAAAATATATTTAATTAATATCGTTGTACTTAATAAATATGACTTTAGAATGAAAAACCATGGCTTTACCCACAACTTAAAGATGAGTCTGCCTGTCAATCGCAAGATGCAACAGTCCATGAAAGATTCAGGCATAAAGAAGCAAGTTCATATATTGATAATTTTCTTATATTTTTTGTTGACTCTTTAAATTATAATTAAATTATTATAGTATTTAATAGCATAAAATTTACTCTTATTAAATAAATTATATTTTTAATATAATTATTAATTGAATAGAATGTCTTTAGATATTTTTAACTATAATACCATGGTTTTTGCAACAATAAAAAGATTGCTACAAATTATTTTGAAGCCCATTTAAATAATATATTATGTCATTTATTAAATAGAAAATTTTTAATCTATATTAATCAGAATTAATATTTTAAATTTTATCAATAATTTATATCGGTAATTTAATTCTTTTACACTGAAGTTAATTTGGCCATTATTAAAATAGCAAACACAAACAGAAATTTTTAAATATTTATAAATTATTTATATTTATTAATATATTAGCTATGAAAACTTTTAAATTATTTTTAAGATATTAACAGAGCTGAAATATTAATAAAATTATCAAATAACTTTTAATTAATAACTATTCTCGTATTATTATTTTAGGGCTGCCTCGATAAGGTAAAAAATTGGATTCAATATGAAAGCTTAGTGGTTATTCTTTTTGGTGTAGTATTTGCAAGTGCTCAGGTAAATATTAAAAAAAAAAATTATTTTCTCGAAGTTATTTTTCTATCAGATTGTCAAAGGAATAATTCCAATTTCAGAATATATTTTCTATAATATTTTAATGAATTTCATATAGTAGATGAGTGATTTGAATTTTAAATCAGAATTATATAAGTAAAATTATATATTTTATAAGAATTTTATAATTAGATTTCACTTGCATGTTTGTTAAAATTACGGTCTAATAATCAGAATTGAATTTCATAATTTTATATGTTAAATTTTGATTATTATTGAATAAAATACACAACATATATATATATATATATATATAGCTAACATTTGGATTAGTCATATTTTAATATAATTCAAATAAATTTAAATATAATTGTATGAAAACTTCGAATTCAACAATACCAACTACACTTAAATTTTAACAAGTATAAGTTTATTGGAGTTTTTGATAAATTCGCTAAAAATTAAATGCGTTAGTTAATGAAATTATACTTACGTAGTTAAAAAAAATCTCCTACAGTCGCCGAAGAAACATGTAAGACACAAGCATGTTGTTTTTTTTTAAGGCTATCGGTATAATTATATCGGCGTTCCTTTGTCGACGCATCATGAACATGCAGACTGGATAACAGAATGGCCGTGTCAGTCGCGGAAGCGACGGCAGCAGCGGCACATTAGGAAAAAACATTCAAACGTGCAGCATCAGACATTGATAGCTGATGTCACTCATCCCATGCTCGTTGGCATGGTCAATTATTATCCACTTTCTATTAAGAATTTGTTTGTTTTTTACCAATTTATTTTTCGTTAAGAAGTCAGCATACTAATTCATAGGCTTTGAGATTAAAAAAAATGGCTGAACTTGATAATAATAATAATAATAATAATAATAATATAATTTAAATATTTAATCAAACAAGTATTGGTTTTTGGTACTTTCATTATATAAATATAATTGTATAAATATTCTGTATGTAGAATTGAAATCCAACTGCCAATTTAGGTCAATTTAAAAATGAGTTTAGTATTTCTACAATTTATAATATTTTACAATTAATATCAAGTCAATGAAAAATCAATAACCTGTTAATGTCTGTAATTATGTATAATCTATACATTTATTATTTAAAAAATGTATATTATTCATTGATATTCCCCGTTCTAGTAATTATTTAAAATTCGCAATATATTCATGATTTATATTTATAAAAGATTAAATTAAAAAATTTCGAATGATGATTGTCCAGTGATTATTGCCAATAAATTCTGTGTAAATTAACAATTAATATGAAACCTATTTCTACACATTTACACCGATGAATACAACCATTTATCAAATATTGATAATACATCTTCTACATTGGAGTATTACTTAATTATTGATTATTAATATTCAATTAAATACTTTATCAGAAAAGTATGTATGAGATAAGGGACATTGTTAATGTATTAACGCTGCGTATAGAAAATATTTTAAATAAATATTTACATATGAATGCATTTTTTAAACATTGCTATCGTACTATGATTGAAGCTTTTTAACATAATTTACCTTTTTATTCTCTCATTTATAATGGATAAAAAATGAATGAAATAACAAAAGAATTTATATCGAGAATGAAAAGAATTTGCTTGATTCACATAGTATAATATTTATTGCGTACATAGAGAAAAAAAGAATTTTACATGAGATATTATTGATCTTCGTAAACGAATCAATAAAAAAGACTTCACAGCGAAGATAAAAGTACACTTTTACCAAGACAATATACTGCTTCTTACATCAATAAAAACAACATTAACTAAGGATGTAAAATTGATATTCATTTAGAAATTTATAACATATAATAATGATTTTATAGGAATTTTTTATGAAGAGAATATGATTCTTCAATCAAATATTATATTTTCTAATTATCCAGAATTATCAGAATTTCTTTTCTTACTTATGTATATTAGTGTCGGGAGAAAGTTTTAGATTAAAGATTTAGATTAATATTTTGACATATTAAATACAAAGTGTGGCCAAAGGAAATTATCTTATAAAATATAAAGATTTTTATAAAAAAATATATTCTTCATTTTTTATTTAGAAACTCTTACCTCGTATAGTAATTCAATTTCATAAATGAGAGTCATAATTGCATTTGGTTCTAATAAATATCTCGTAAAAATAAAGGATTATTTTATAATTAATTATTATAGCAATAAAAATTTGAAATTAAATATATAACTTTTTATTCCTATATATTCTTGATCGACTTGTCATGTTAGTAATTTCAAATCATTGCTTACATAAATTTACTTATATAATTATTGGAAAATAATTTCTTTTACACGTATTACTATATAAAATTATGTTACATTGTGCCAATATTAATAAAAACTATTAATATTTAAGACACATTGTTGAGTAATAAAATCATAAGACTTTTTAATTATTATTATTTTGTATATTATGAATAAACTACTCGAATTCTAAAAACTTTATGTAATTTAACATTTTAAATACTTTTTAATAATTCTAAGAAATACTTTTAAGATCTCTTATTTTGTTAAGATTTATATCACGCACAATAATTATTTTAGATGATGTTTTATATGTGATATATGATTTTAATTATTAGAAATTTGTATATAAAATTTTTTAAGAATCGATTATTATTTATTTCGATAATGTTTGAAGAATCATTCTGTAAATAAGAAATCAATAATAATGTAAATTATTCAATTGAAAAATAATTTAATAACTTCAAAAAAATGATATATACGAATTTAAGAGTATATTAAATAGTTTAACAAATAAAATTTCAATGTATTTTTGGTTTTAATTATTTGTATAAATTAATTCCATAAAGATTATAATGATTTTATATTAGATCTTTTCATTTAAGAATATGTAAGTACGTTATATGCATTAAATTAGCCATGTTTTTACATAAAGAAAAATTAATTATATATGGTTAAATAATTAGAGTAGATAAAAGTTAATCTAATAAATTATGTATGCACATCTCAATTCCAGTGTTTTGAAAAATTAGTATTCGTGGTATAATAATAATAATTATTAATAAAAAATATTTTATAGTCAGCTCATTAATAGAAATATTATTTAAAAACTAAAATAAATATTAATTAATTATAGTTTTACGTTATATAGAAATCTTTGTTAATTGTCTTATTTTGTAATATTATTTCAGTAATAATTTAAGAATAATTATGTTCAATTTTAAGATTAAAATTAGTAATATTTTAATAATAATATAATAATTCATTGCTATTAAATAAAACAATTGAGTTTAATTTGATTATTAAATTTTTATAGTAATATAAAATGACATAATAAGTAACTAGATTTATGACAATGGAGAAATTTGAAATATAATATTTTTCTATTATTACAAATTCAATACATTTTATGGTTACAATTCTGGTTCAAAAGTTATGAAACAAATTATTTACTGTAAAAATGTTTTTTATATAATAATCTTCAACAGAATTTCTAAAATAATTATTATTCTATTTTATATACAGGATGTACAACTTTAAGCATTAAATTTTAAATATGGAATTACAAAACTTACGCTTTTTTAAACGAATTTATTACATTTTGTGTTTAATGATACCACAAATACTTTTTTTTTTAATAAAGAAGAAAAAATCGTCCATATACTATAACAAAATTTATAAAATTTCAGCAATATCAATAGAAATCGCGTGTGGAAGAATCAAGTAAATTATTATTAAAATAAATTAGAAAATCACGAAATGTGGTAATCCTTAAAATCGATTGTTCTAAATTCGTAAAAAAATATATTATAATTAAATATATATTCATATATATTATTATTTGTATATTATATATTTTATAAGATATTCTATATTTTTATTGAATAAATAAAATAAATATACACATATATAAAGTAAAGTGTTAGTAAAATGAAAAATTATTATATATAAATAAGTACACAGGATACAAACTATGTCCAAGATCAAGAAAGTTATTGAAGTCTTTAATATGTCTACTTAGAATGTGATGTAAAAGTAGAAAAATGTGTGCCAAATGACGGTCATCTTTATTCTCGAAATGGCCCGTCTTCTACGTATGAAAATGTAATAAATTATTTGTAAATAAAGATATTATTTGTGAAATAATTGTATACAAATAAATATATTATCTATTATATAATTGTGCATCTTTCATTTAATTTTTTAATTTATAATTTTTATATGTTCTACTTTGAAAAATAATTTGTTCATTTAAGAAAAATAATTTTCTCAAATTTCTTATCATTAATAATTTAATAAAGAAAGTGTAAAAATAAAAAATATAAATTTATTAGACTGGAATATATTTAGTTATAAAAATTGATTTAAATTGTTTCAATATAAATAATGTTGTAGAACAGAAATATACGTAAATAATAAACAGGTGAAAAAATGAACAAAAAGATGAAAAATTAATTTAAATATCAACACCAGTCAAAATTTTAAATGTGTATTTATAAAATTTACTTACTTTCATGTATAGTAAAATATTTGGCGATCATTAAGCTTTTGCACTGGTCTAGAATTCGATAGAATTGGTCCTTCAATTGAACAAACATTACGAAATTGTGAAATCTGCAGTACATAAAATGAAGTTTTCATGTTCTTTTCACAATAAAGTTTTTATTGCAATTTTTATATTTTTATAACATTATAAAATTGATATAAAATAACTAAAAATATTTGAAGCAGAATATCCAAGTTATTGTAATTTAATTTCACATTATTTAAATGACATAAAATATATATCTATTGCATCCGGAGCTTAAGGTCTTTTCTATAATTAAAATAAAATTATATTTATTTTATCGAGAAAGAAATTCAGAAAAAATAAAATCCATTGAATATAAATATTGTTATATATAAATATCGTGAGATTAAAATTACATGTTTAACAGGTATACAATTTTTTAAAAATTTATGATATTTTCGTAATAAATCATATAATAATATAATAAATCATATAATAATATAATAAATCATATAATATACATCATATAATAATACTACATGAGAATAAATAAATATTCTTTACAGTCTGTTTATATATACTTGATGCCTTTTTTTGATATTATATTTAATATTCTTACAAAAGAACACATTTTTATTTTTCCATCAATTTATTTTATTTTAATTATTAACTTTATATTTTATTAATGCAACAACGTTTACATTAGTACATTATTATTAAATTCTGCATGGATTATAACTGGAAAAAATGCTGCCACTTTGTAGTTAAATATATACGCAATATATATATTTATATGCAAATTTTGAGTGAAATATATATTATAAAATAATGCTGGTTCTACCAAAGTAATTATTAATTTTTATATAATTTAAATTAATTTAATAAAAATAGTATTTTCATCAGTGAATGATAATTAATTTAATAAAATTAGAAAAAAAAGTTTTTTTAATTTATAATTTTTTATAAGTTTTTATAACCTTTTCGAAAAATTCATTTAAAAACTTTTGAAAATGTGATAATTAGCATAAATATTTTTTTATCAAACCTTCTTGAAAAAAAACAGATTTTAGTCTGAAATATAAAATAAGTTTGAAGTTTCACAAAAAAAATGATATTTATTTGTAATAAGGTATTATCAATGTACAATGGATAATACAAAAAATATAAGAGACATTGCAAAAGATAAAACAGTTTGTATAATTTATTATCTCAATTATATATTATACATTTACGAGTAATTTATTTTTTAATTTAGTAAATAAATAGGGTATAATTTATGTTTAAATTTATAAATTAAAATTAAATTAATGCTATCAAATTAATATAAAATACTGTTATAAATTATACTTGGATTGAAAAATATTAATTAAAAATTTAATAAATAAATAAATACTATTAACCTGTTGAGCAGATATGGCTATGGGACAGGGGTTAAGGATCCAAATGGCATTCTCGGTGCAGGGCGGTTGCGTAATAGAGCCGCTATAGGTATAAAACTTCGTATTAAAACTCGGCACAAGCCATTCGAGTGGAAAAGCAGTCACGGTAAACCGGCAACCAGGGTTTGAGATACGCCAGAGATTTGTTACGACGTGGTCGAGGTAGGGGTTATCAATACTTGTCAGCTGTCATGACATCATTTTATTACATACTCAAGAAGTTTTATTCCTAATTTCAATTATTTGAAATTGTGCCAAGATTAAAATTACATTGAATTAAAAATTTATTCACACGTGCTTACATTGTACATTAGAATTCATTAAATTATTGTAGAATTACATATGGAAAAGCTTTAATTTATCTAGGAATCGATAGAGTAAGAATACGTTTTCGATATTCTTATATACATAAATATATGCGTGTGAGTGCATGTGTGCGTATATGTATTTATATATGTACGAATGTATGTACGTACGAATGTGTGTAGGCATGCATATGAACAGTGTCTTTGGTTGACAAGCAGTTAACATGCTGGGAACATTGTAACAAATAAATTTATTTTATGCTATCAAATATTTAAAATAAGTATTGATATTAATAACTTCAATGTACAAACTTGAAAAAAATAGGACAGAATGACGACTACGTCTCGGTCGTTTGTTGTGACACCAGGTAATGTGCAGGTGGATCGCTTGGTATGGACTACTTGAAGTTCCATGGGGTAACGCATATAGTCAATACTATGCTCGCTACCCTCGTCATTGGCCGGGCCCCAGCGAAACTCTATCGAGCAGAAATCATAAACACCTTTTAACGGCCCGCCTGATAGACACGGCCGCATTGATGATCTCCACACACCAAGAAGAATCACTACGGGCGTTAGATTAATGACCTTGAAAAGGTGTAAATTGATATTTCGAGTAGGCATATTAGTATAATCGATAATACTAAGGTTATTTTAATATTTATTTATTTTAATCAAATATTTATTTTAATACTATCTGAGATATATATTGTTGATCTCCACATTCAAGAAAACTTATTTAATTTCATACTATAGAATCGTGTCAAAATTGAATTATTTTATTTAAGCAAAAAGGAAACTATTGCAAGAAATGTTCAGTAAATTATACGACTCTTGATTACAAAAAGAGTATCCAATTTAACATCGTTTCCCTTAAATACCTACATACATTAAAAATAAAAACCCTATTATCTCAGACTAATCACATATATAGAATATTTATTTTATTTTTTTAATTTACATACCTAAATATATGATATTTCATAGGTATTGTATAATAAATCACAAAAACTGAAGAAATTCTATGCAGCAGCTAAAGTGCTATGGGATTAATAAATCATCTTATAATGTATTATTAAATTCTATAATTTAATTTAATTTAATTTATGTATATATATATATATATATATATATATAATATAATATAATATATACTCAGAATAATATCTTATATACTCAGAAAAACTGAGTTGGAATAAAACGTATTTCTTCCTCTATAAACAAGATATAGTTAGTATGAATAAGATTCATAGAAACATTTGTGACACCCTAACTTTTAAAGATATTAGTCGTTTGTATTTTACAATATTTATTGTATTACGTATTTATAATTTAAGGATTAATACATTTTAATGGTACCGTGGTCTTTATAATCTAAATATAAAATATAAAAAGATATATGTGATGTTTTATGATTATAGTTGGTAGTTATTACTCTAACATATCAAGAGCATATCGTTAACTAAACTCCCATAATTCTTTGTTTTTGGTAGTCTTTAAATATACAATATTAAATATTATATGACAACATATTCTACCTTTGTTTCCATCGTTTACAATAACCATAGACGCGGGCTCATCGCAATAGCCTTGCCAACGAAGCGGCTCCGAATGTGCGACGACAGTCGCGCACTGGCCGTCGATGTTGATCGGCGACTGTTCGCAACCCCGGGACTCCGGATAGAGGAGGCGCCATACTCTCGGGCCATTATTCTCTCCGTAGATAAATGGATTGATCCAACTAGATTCGGAACACCTTGATGACGACACTAAGCACAGCCAATCCAGCAGCTCCATTAATAGCATCGCTGTCAAAGTATTTTTAAATGTCCGTACATTTTTCTTTTCTTTGTTAAGGGTCCAAAAAAATTTAATATATTCTTACAACTCAGTTATTAAATTATATATGCCACTTTAACTGTAATAAAACGATTAATATTGCTATATTGGGTAAAATTTAATATTTAATTAATTTAATTATTATGTACACACACATATATATTTATATATATATATATATATATATATATATATATATACATCTACGATATGGAATATAAAAATATAGACAAAGAACTTATCAAATACTGTTTTATGTACTATTACTTTGTCTTTATGTACATATATTACGATTATAAATATTTTTTCATAAATAAGCAATAGATGTTTTCAATTAATACTTTTCACTTATAAATAATAATTTCATAATATTTAAATGATTTATATTAATATAGATATTTCTATTATGAATTTTAAATTAAAAATTGGATAGTTGCCAATCCCATTGCACTTGGCACATTGATCACGTTTAGCAGTTATAGGACTTAAAAATGCGATTGCAGAAGATAGAAATATGTGAAAAATATTTGCTTTCAAGAAAAGACGTATAAATGGCGGAAACGATTATCTCTAAGTGTGATATAAGAAATGGGGAGACTTTTTATAGATCATTGATCCATTTAAAAAGGAAGTAAAAAACATCGAATCAATTGATCAATCAATAAGGCTATACTTGTAATAGATCCATAAATTTAAGAATACGCCATAAATAACAATTAAATAATAATTATTTTCTGCATTCCTAAGACTCCTGAATTTTTAATATTTGAATTATTGGTGATAATGATTTTTTACGACAGGAAAGCTTGTTCTTTTTACACGTGTGTTGTATAGCTTGTAGTTATTTTATGAATAACAGTATCACAAGCCAATGATAAATTATAATCAATTATATATTTATAATTAATTATAAGTTACAATTATAATTACTTATACTTTTTTTGCCTAATAATTTCAAGCCACAAAAAGTGAATGTTTCATCAGTAACAATTAAGTCTCATATTACATAATAATATCGCTTATAGAGTAATACACTAGTAATTTGAAAAATAATATAATCATGTCTTCTGTTACATAATAATATAAAATTAATATTTTTAAATAATATGCAATCGCATTTTTTAAATTTAGATAATTTTCCAAAATGTTCTGTATATCAAACAAAAGTGATTTTGTCAAAGTCCTGTTATAGTTAATTTAAAGAATCAAAATTCGAGAACGAATGAACGAATGAAAATTGCTCTTTTTTATTTTTTAATAAATTTATATATTTTGAATACATATTATATGCAATTTAAAGTGAATGTAATCTAATGTACCTCATACATTAATTAAATGTAATTCAGAGAAAAATTATGTTTGTCATTCTTGTTTTAGAATCATCAAATTATTTAATTTATATTATATATTATATTTTTTATTTTGATCAAAACAAAAATTGAAAAAATTAAAAGAAAGAATTAAATTAGTTACTGCTCATTAGCAACATTACAATGTTTTATTATTATACAAAATTTACTTTGCAATTACTATTAATAACTTGATAATTCTATACAAAGTTAACAATTATCTATAATCATCATATTCATCTAATTTCATGTATATTAGATGAAGAAGTGTAATGCAATAGCTCACTGTTGTTGTATTTTTTAATAATCAGATACTGAAATGTGCAATTTACATATTTCATATAATTTCTGAAAAATATATTTCTTTGCATACTTAGTATCGTCGAATAATTATTTTTTGAAATATTAAAATTCAATTCTAGTTAAAAACAAAAATTAGGTAAGGTATAGGAATTACTTCAAAACTCGCTAATTTTAAATGGTTCTTATTTAAAGAATATTTCGATTCCCTTTCAAAAATACAAATATTAAACTACAATTGTAATTAATATTATGTATCTTAGGTTAATTTTAAATTTAGTTACATTAAAAAAAAAGATTAATATTAAATGTTAAATGTTACTTTTTTATTCTTGCAACAAGTTGGTCAACACATAAATATTTGTATTTTACTTAAAAATTTAAAAATCATGTACAACATATATTATTCAATTATTTTTCAGAATTTAAAGTATCAGAAATAGAATTAATAGTTATTGAATAATGAATAGTCCAAAGCACAGGTAAAAATAAACGATTTTATTATATGTAAAGTATTTATTTAATTTTCAACTTATATATAAATGCATGTTTTGATTTGAAAAGCAGTTAAAGCTATTTAATCATTTTAATTCTTATGACACACAATAAGATACGAACTTATAATAACTAAATAAAATTAATCCTGTAACATATTTTAAAACATATTAAAATTCATTAATTTAAAAAAATTCTTTGAATTTTAAAAATCTATAATAGAAAATAAATTAAATAATTATTCTTATTAAAATATACGAAAAAAATTAAATTAATTTATAGAAAAAAAATTTGGTTTAACATTTACAAATAAAATGTCAATATCAATACACGATATATATATATATATATATATATATGCATATAACGTCCGTGATAATATAGTTTTGCTTCTGCCAATAGTAAGTACAGGTTATGTTACATTAAATTTACCAAAAAGAAGGATACTGCCGCAAAATATAATGATATCCATTGTTGAAAAATCCTTCATTATTATCTTCAGACGATAGAAAAATTTTCAAATCACGGTACAATATATTAAACATAAATTATTAGTTATACTTTAAAATTTGAAAATACGCATTCGATTAATTCCATTATTTAAGAAAATGAAGTTAGTAGTAATTAATAATAACAGCGATCTGAAAATTTTATTAAAAAATTTCAGATCATAAATTCAAATATGTCATAATTTCAAAATTGTACATACACTTGCTTATTCAAATTTAACCTAAATTTTTAAAATATGGAAAATGAGCCCAGTAAAATATGAAACAAACGTTTTAAAATTAATTAAGTAAAATATCATAGCCATTTAAAAATGTCAAAAAAAATAAAAAAAAGTTAGATTCTTTAATATCTTGATATTTATGTTTTTACGTACATTCATTCATATCTTTATTCCATTTTCTGTTTTAAAGAAGAGAAGGTTTGGACGTCGACAACTGGGATACCAAAGTGGAATCAATCGCCTATTGATTTAAACTCAATGTATACAATACATCATAATTTCCCAATTTTAGTTCTACAAGGACACTTAGCTTGCAAAGGACCAGCCAAAATGATAAATACTGGAAACACAGGTTAATTATTCCTGGTTGTTTTGTTAGTTAATAATGCTTATTCAAAGTACTTTATACATTTTAGGTAGATGCAATTATAATAGATTGAAATGAAAACTTGTTGTCAGATATCATATAAGTAATATTACGACGAAAATATTAATTTACGTTATAGTAAAAATTGAATTTATTGGTAATCGAGTGGCGACATTAAAAGGCGGACCGTTAAATGATGAATATCAATTTTCGGATTTGCAGTTTCGTTGGGGTTCGACTAATGCTTTTGGAGCTGAACATTCCATTAATAGTGTTTGGTATTTTATGCCATATGTATACGAATTATATGAATTCAGTATATTATGTATTTTATTTCAATAATTAACTTACTAATTTTGAATAGTTTTTGAAGTGAATACTTTTAGAAAGTAATAGGGTTAATGTTTAGAATTTCATAGTAGTTTAAAAATAAATAAGAATTTACAAATACAACAAGTTATCCCCCTAAAGGCTAAAAATTTATTATAAATAGTTTTGATTAACGATAATGTTAGTTATATATATATATATATATATATATATATATATATAATTTTCTTCAATTAATAAATTTTTCCAATCAAAATATTTACGTATTACCTTTACTGAAATCATTGAAATTCAATGAATAAAAAGTTACAAATGCCATACTTTGTTAAATATCTTACATCAATTGAAATATATATATTCTTCATGTAGGTTTTCAATGGAAGCACAAGCAATACATTGGAATAAACGTTATGGTTCCATTGATAAATGTTATGAGAAACCAGATGGAATTGCCATCATTGCATTTTTATTTCAAGTCAGTTTATTATTTCTATATTCTATAAATTAAAACTAACATTTTGACAATTTTGTTATTCATTATTATTTTATTTAAAATTATATTTAGTGCTATAAATACAATTGCTATAAAGATTATTCTTTTTTTTTTTCAATTATAATAGCATATACATGTAATATATATGAGATGAAATTACAATTAATACATAATTTATTCTAGGTAATCGGTTGTCCTGGAATGCCGGACAATCCAAATTTTTTGCAAATAACCGACAATTTAAATTATATTAAATTAGCTAATAAATATACTATTCTTCGTCCAGGTTCGTGTATTAAATATTAAATTTGAAAGTAATTTTGAAACATCAATATGACAATAAAATATAATAATAAAAATAATGCTTTTTGATTTATCGACTGATTTTTTATCTGAGATAAATAATTTGTATAATTCTAATATATATTATCGTGCAGATTGTTTAAAATGGATTGCAGAAGCCATTTCAAAACCTGGATATTATACTTATACTGGATCTCTTACTACTTATCCCTATTCAGAGTGTGTAACTTGGATTGTTATACCTTGTCCTATTGTAATTTCGGCTAGACAGGTTTGTTAAATTATATTGTAACTGTACTGTCGATGTCATTTATAATTTCTATTTTTACACTGAATGTATTAAACACATAGTATTTTATAATATCATATGTTAGTAAAAGAAAAAAATTACAACAAAATATTTTTATAAATATTCTTATATCTTATTTAAAATGATTATTATAACAATTATAAAAACTATATTATTATAATATTTATTTTAAACAAGTCAATACATTGTATGATAAAAGTAGTTTTTCATATTATATATAATTCAATAATAATATTAATTTATAAACTTAATATTTTTAGGCTGATGCATTTAGAAGACTTTATAACAACAAAACTGAACTCATTACTCACAACTTTAGATCACAGCAAAAAATTCATGATAGAAAAATTTTTTACGCTATTGGTTGATAGATATTAATAAACATTTCGTCATTTGTTTTGGCGTTTAGTATTAATTAACAGAACTATTTTTTTCATAGAAATTGAAGAACCTAAAAATTGAAATGAAATAAATTTTATCATTAAATTATTTGGATAATATTTTAAATCGCTCAGTTTTGATAATGGCAACAGAAAATCAATTAAAAAGTAATAGTGACATTAATATAAGGTGTACAAATATATTCATTATTTCATTAATTATATTGATACCAATTTATAAGCTCTTACTAGAAAAAAACAGTCACCTATCGATCTGCTTGACATAATTGTACGACCGATTTATTTACCACCATTGCAATTAAATGGACATTGGTTAAATGATGGAAAAGCATTTTTAACGAATAATGGAACGACGGGTATTTCTTTAAATCTTTACTCTTATATTTTATATTCTCTACTATTTTTAAGTCAATATAAATTCACCACTTTTTGGAATTTTTTCATTTTTCATAGCTATTGGTTCTGCCAATTATCAAATCGATATAATTATATTTTCCAACAATTTAAAAGCATAATTATACATATGTATATAATATGATATATACTTAATTATGCAATCAGTTTATATCTACGTTTTTAATAAGGACTATAAAATACAGATTAATAAGACGTCTTAAAATTAATCATCGATAAAGCATTTACAAAAAATTGAATTTCAATACTTAACCTATTTGTTAAAAATATTGTAAGACACAAATTGAACAAAAATTTTTTTATTTTATTTTTTAGTTTATTTTAAAATATGTATTTAAAATCATATATATGTGTGCGTGCGTGCGTGCGTGCGTGCGCGCGCGTGTGTGTGTGTGTGTGTGTATGTGTGTGTGTATTGATGTATAAATATTTTTTATTTTTATTTCTTTCAGCAACAAGCTATATTAAAATTTTTACTTTATAAAGTACTGAATAAAAAATAAAAAAAATACAATATATATATATATAACTATGTAATTCCTTAAATACATTAGGTACAATAAATCTAGTAATAAATAGCAATAAATACGAGCATAAAAATAATTACAACGAAAATTGCTATATTTAATATTTATCGTATAATATTGTATGGTATTATATATTTATAATTTCAGTTTTTCAGAAATAAGTTAGAGAAATTATAAATGAATCACATTATAATTAGTCAGCAACTATCGATTTATCAATATTTTAAGTATCCGTGTTTTTTTACTTATTCAGTAATTTAAATAATTTTTAGCTGTAATTAATCTAAGTGGTGAAAGAATTCCATCCATTATTCAATCAGGTCCATTAAATGATGAGTATGAATTATGTGAAGTTCATTTCCACTGGGGTAAAGATAATTGTAATGGATCGGAGCATACTATCAATGGAACTTGGTAAGATAAAAACATTGATCAGTTATAAGTCAAAGCATAAGGAATAATTTATCAATTTTATGATTTAATAATATTCATGATTTAATATTACAACTTTTTCTGCATATATAATTATGTATATATATATTTTTTAATAATTACAATATTTTAGTAACAGTTTAAGATTTTATATTATTTGTTTGTTAATTTTTAATTTATTTATTTTGTATTAATATATTTACAAATAAGATTCATTTTATTGATAAAATTTGCTGGGCTTGCAATATTATTTTAAGTAGAATTTTGTTAATGTACTCGAGTATCTTTGCATAATAAAGTGAAAAACATATTTTCTGCTTTGCTTATATGCATTTGTAATAGGTATTCAATGGAAGCGCATGCAGTACATTGGAATCGGAAATACCAGATATTTGATGAATGTTTAAAATATGAAGATGGCCTGTGTATATTAGTTTTTTTGTTCTTGGTAACTTTCTCCGGCTGAACATTTTACAAAATTTTTATATTTTTAATGAAAAAGAATGTATATACATTTAAACATTTTTTTTATACCTTTTAATTTTATGAAAGCAATTTACATATATTATATAGTCATTTAAATTATATTGGGACGATAGTTTAATAAAAATTTGAATGTGTGATGTTTATGGTATATTTTTAGGTAAAAGATACAGACGATTGTATTAGCTGTGTTAAACTGGAAAAAATTACAAATAACTTGAAATATATCATAAATAAAGATTCAAAAGTGGAAATTGATGCTAGTAAGAAATATATATAAACATTAGAAATATGTATATGATTAAAGTTAATTTTCTAATTTATTATTAATTTGTTTCTGAATTTAAATAAAAAGGCACAATACAAACCATTCCAATTTATTAATATCATTAATAAATTTGAAATTATATTGTCAATCTTAGAATTCTTTTTAAAAACTTGTATAATAAGTAATTAATTAATTGAATTTCTGTTGGATATGGCATTAATATTATTTATTAAATTCTTTCTTATAGATTGTCTTTGTTGGATACGTAAAGCGAACCATTGTAAATATTATTATTTTTATAATGGTTCCTTTAACCAGCTCGATTATCCGGAATGTGCACTATGGATTATATTCCCAAATTATATACAAATCGGATCGGATCAGGTGAAAAGATGAAAATTAATATACACCGAGCCAAAGTAATTAATTTTCTTAATTTTACAGATAATGGAATTTAGGAAACTGAAAGATGAAAAAGGCAGGACAATAAAGTCAAATGTGCGTAAAATACAACATCTTGGCGACAGAAAAATTTATAAGGCAATTTGCCCATGTAAAAAGGGAACATAATTAACTTAAAGAATTTAATAAAAATTTAAGTAAAAATAATTTTTAATTAAATAATTATAACCTATTTTTTTAATCGCAACAAATTTGTGAATCAACAGCAGCACTAATTCTATCGATGGTTTCGCACATTAAAGAATAAATCCTGACGTAAAATATTTCATAATAGAGGGAATGGTCGATATTGGTATTAAAATGTTCATAATTTTCACTCTCGATTTCTTCGCTTTCATAAGCATTCTCCATCTCGTATACTTCATCATTATCAATATGTTGGCAGCATTTATTGAAAACAAAATTACTTTCATCCTCAAATTTATTAATCAATGTACACAGAAGCCAATATACTAAATGTCGCTTCGGGTTAAGTGGATGTTGATAGAGAGAAATAGGCTGTAGGCTTTGGATGCAAATATCATTAAAGCGTTTAGTAAGTTGATTTTGTTTCTTATCATGCCCGAGCCTTAACAGTATCATATGTAATTCCTTCAACATTAGACTCCAATCGTTTTGATTTGTAGCATTTTTATATATACACTTGAGCTCAGCAATGAGGGTCGAGTTGTAGAAATATGTGGGATTTCGAGCACAAAATAAATTCATCTCCAGGAAGAGTTTGCTATAGGCTACCTCCTTTTGTGCGCGTTCACTTGTTGCTACCTGTAACACTGTTTCAACAACATCCCGAATAATGTTCCAACGTACACTTGTTTTCAAATGTTCCTTAATACGAGCGTTCTTTTTATCCTCGTGGAGTTTCCAGTCGCTGCCTTTAGATGTCGCCCACAGTCGGATACTTATTGTTCCAGGATAAATATTTGGTTCAATTATAAGATTCCACGTTTCTGTTGCTACAATTGGACGCCGTGAACGAAACCAAATTGCCACTTCCACTATTTGACCAGGAAGAATTGAAACAGGATTTTTATTAAAGAAGAAGAGACTTTTTATGCGATTAGAAATGGGCATTGATGTTAATTTTGGAACTACTTTTCGCCAATCTATCGTGACAATTTGTATTCCTTTGTTCTCTAGTTTAAATTTTCTTTCGCATATTTCATCACCTTGTGCTGTAAAATTCACTGCCCACACTATGGGTGGCATTTTTTGTGAAAAAATTCTATAGACTTGCTTGGTGTCAAAAACCGAGTATGCATATTTTTGAGAATTTAAGTCTTCCTTAGATCGGCGTAATTCTCTTGTTTCCTCGCAATTCAATTTCTCAAAATAATATCCTCTTTCAAAAACAAATTCTCTGTCTTGAATCTTTAGGGCTATTCTCTCATCTGGATAGTTCAGTAACTGAATTCCGTCATCGTGAGATGTGATTGTTATTACAGGTAGTCTAATGAACTTTTCTTTAGGCTTATCTTGAAAATTCTTTCCGATAATTATTAGATTATCTGTTTCTGGCTTTTTAGGCTCTAAAACCTGTATTGCAGCCTTAAGCTCTGTTGTTCTGTGCCGTAAATAATCACCTTCTTCCCATTTTGAATGAACTGAAATTATTGTAAACAAATTATTGTAGCCTATTAAGTTTTACTAAACATCAAATAGACAAATAGAAATATGTTATGAATTTTTATTGGGAAAAATTTCAAATTCAAAACATGATCAATGAAAATTATAAATTGAAAATACAATTATATATTATGTTTAGACAAGATTTACATGATTAAAAAATGCATATAAATCGTATTTATATGAAAATAATATCAAAGATTATTATATTACATTGGATTTTTTCAATGTCCTGAAACGATTCCACCAGCATTTTTTCTTTACGTATTAAGTTTGGCAGGGCGACTCTTGTGACATTCTGGGACCGCTTCCTCGAGTCTTTACTATTAATGGTGCCATAAATGTCTTGTCCCTCTAGTTTGCTTTCCTCACCAGTATTGGATGATTTTTGGACAAGCTGCGAAAATATGGAATTGCCGCAGTAATTATTCGGGCGTGGAGTATCGGACTTTGTAGCTTCGTATATAAGGGACTGTATTTCTTTTTTAGAGCGTGAGTATTCATGAGCATTAAGGGCAAGCTCAGAGGGCTTGCGTTTTAGTTTGGCGCCAAGGTGCTTTTGATAGCGATGGTGCTCCAGCTGCCTGCGATGCCAATTCGCCAGTCTACGATCCTCTTCCGCAGGTTGTTCTAGATGAGGATTACATGGAATTAGCGGCACATTATCCAGTAACTTCAAGGGCTTATTCCGACTTGGGCTCTTATAAAGTTTATCCATTACATTACTCGATATTGAGCCTACATACTTGTGGATTTGAGGTTATTTTTCAATATAGTTCATTCATAATGGATATACATACTTATATTTTTTGGACTTCCTCATTTCAAGATCTGATTATATATATCTATTATAAGACTTTTTTATTTAAAAGACTTTTTAAAATACTTGGAATAAGAGAAAAGCTTAATTCTCTGAAGTTGCTTACAGACATTTATTTTGAAAATTACAGCGAACGGTTAAACATTGTTTTAAAATGATCTCGATGCAAATTGCGATACAAACTAATTTATATAATAATAATAATTTTCTTTTTTACTTATAAACTTATATAATTATTATTGGATTTTATTATTAAATTAACAAATGTAAAGGAAAGTATAATCATATATATTATTATTATTAATAACGGATTATTTAAATATATTTTTCAACGTATTTTCAGATTTTTTTATTTTTAAAACTAATCTTTTAAAATGAAAATTATGTTCATCATCAAAATCTATTTCATGATTTATATAAGCATACTTATATAAATTTATATGGCCTATTACACAAATGATAAATGATTTTATTTAATAAAATATATGCCCTTTACATAAAAGTTTATGTCATAGTTACAGTATATAAATTTTGTCTTGTATTATAATAAACTTCGTTAACTTATTTTATTATAACATTCATCGCCAACTCTTTTTATATTTTTTAAATGAAATTGATTCAATATTTATTGTCGTAGTATTACAAATTAAGGATTTTTGACAATTAATAAGATTAAATTTAATTTACTTTAAATAAAATATAATTATTGGAGAATATTTAACAAGATGAAAGAATTTTTCATCAAAATTAATATACAAAGTGAGATAGTCTTATATAAAAAGTATAAGAATTAATTTATTTAACTTTTGTTAGTACTTTGCTTTATACTATCTCATCATATAAGCAAGTAAAAAATATATAATAATTTACATGAAGAAAATTATAGAAATAATAAATTTTATTAATTTTATTACATTAAATTAGTATGATCCACAAATTCTACCCTAAACATCAACATACAGTTTCAACAACACTTTTTAAAAAACATTCCTAAAACACATTGCGCATAAATGGTTAATAACAACTGAAAATAGAAAAAAATACTTGTCTAATTTTTGTCGTTTTCCGACTTTTGGTAATTCAAGCAATACATTATTACATATAAATATTTGTTTAAAAACGACACAGTATGTACAGATAAATTACATGTTATTAGTTTATAAATATTTATTTCAATAATATAACAATAATAAATTAAATCTTATTTAATTACAATAGTTTTCAAATGTAATTAATTAATTAACTACATTTGCTAATTAGCATTTATTTACGGACACAAGTTAATTATATAAATATCAAATTATTGTGCTTATAAATTATGAAAACAATTTTATTAATTTATCCAACATGTAGTAAAATATTATTTTATTAAATTGCATTTATAAATCAATTATTGAAGAAATAATATATTTTAAATAAAATACAATTAAGTGTGAATAAAGTGTAGGCAGTAGCGCGAAGGGCGTAGTCCCTTAAATAACAATACAGTTTTTAAGCATTAAATTAATAACATGAAAACCTGTCCACAGGCAGATAGTATGCACTATCGTGCCATTAAATTCTCTAATTGCCGACTAGCGTCGTTACTTCCTTCGCCGTCGTCGCCTCTTCACTCGTTCCCTCCGCAAGTCGCAGTCGGGATAGAGAGTCTCGCACTTAGCACGACCAAGTCCTAGTACCGATGCCTTAACAGAGTCCAGCATTGCCGACCATGGATTCTGGTTCAGCATTCGACCCGCTGTCCAACTCATGCTCATACTGCCATGAAATATTAACCGTTTTATTTCATTGTTTTTATTTGTTTATATTTCGTAGGAAGGGAGTACATTTAATTAAAGTTAATTTCTCCTCGAAATCATTACACGTAAAAGAATAAAATTAGCCCAGATGATTTATATCAATAGGGATACAATTTAATTGTAAATATTATCTTATAATTGATGAATTTTAAGTGTTGGTTTTATTCTATTTTATGTAATTACTTGATATTTATTTTGTATGTAAATATTCGTCATTGATATTATAAAATTAATATTTTAATTAATATAATATTTATATAAAAGTAATGTAATAAATTTAATTAGTTTGTAAAGGAATACCGAATTCGACATTTCTATCTATAACTTTATAAAAATTGACATATACTATTAAAAAAATTATTTATATTAATAAGAACAAAATAACAGTTTATTATATATATATATATATGTATATAGTATAATTATAATTATAAAGTTAATATTATTGAAAATTTTAATTTAGTTCTAATTGCCCTTATATTGTACTCCATTATTTGAAGAAGCGATTTGAATATAATATGCACCTCCAGGCAGGAATCCAGATACGTTGTCCACCTTGAGTGTTTCTAGAGTATCGGTTGTCCTCACAAAGTATACGTCGTAGGCAGTTACCAGAGTCGGCAGGGGCCACCAGCGCGGCTTCGATAGATCTTAGGACTCTATGGGCTAGTTCATCAATTTCCGCGTTACCTTCTGCGTAGGCAAGTGACGGTGCGTCAAGGACATGTCTACGGAAGCGCTGATCGATACTCGCGACAACCGTCGATGCTGTTGTCGTTGTGGTCATCATCGGTGCCTGCATCCAACAACATTTGCTTTTATTTGACTTCATCGTCTTGTTTTAATATTATGATTACTGCAGTCAGTCGCTTATCGTTAATATGCTATTTTAATAAATTTGTATTTCATTCGTATAATGTATTTTCCCCCTCATTTTATACGACTAAAAGTGTAAATTTGTTTTAAAATAATAATTTGCTGGAAATACATTCCAACTAATATAAATTCATAATTTATAACGGCATAATCTTTCCAAATAAGAAGAAATTGAGTATTAGCAGTAATTATGAATTTTTTACACATTTAAGATTCTTATTTAAGCTCATATATTTTAATTAGCCAAACTATTTTATTACTCGATATTATATAATTGAATAAATATAATTGAAAAATACTCTAAGAAAGTCATGTTATACATTGGCGAGTGACGAACAATGAGATAAATATAATGTGCAGCTAATAGACTATATACAGCAATGTAAGAAGGTGCTGTAAAAGGATATAAACTTTTATTTATTTTACGGGGTAACACACCGTTATATTCATGAGAAGTTGAATGACGAAGAGTCCAAAAGAAAGGAAAGCAAGTGCCGTGAGGGCGATTTCGAAGAAATCCTTAATCGACAGATCATGACCTTTATCCTTCTCATGGTATATCGGATGTTCGTCTTCGTTATTATGCTGACTTGGCAAGTAGATATGCTGCTCATGTATCGCTGGTACAAATCTGTGATTATGCGAGAGAGGTGGTGCACCATTCAAAGGGATGCCGTAGCTTGGATAACTATAGCCTGTTGGCGCTGACATCATGTGATCACCTTTTTTACATATTCTATATATTTTTGTTTTTAATAGCCCGAAAAGAATAAAACTTCTATTCTTTTGGTATTAATATATTTCTAATAATTACATATATAAGATTGCGATTTATAAATTATCGAATTATGTTTTCATAATTACGTTCTATTTTCAATGTGGACTAGCACACGTGACAATAAATTATAATAACTAAGTTATAATAATATAACGCTAATTATTGTAAAGAATTTATATTTTTATGCAACAGTTAATTTTTTATTTATATGTAAATAAAATTGATCTAAATAAATAAATAAAATAATATATATATAAATATATAATAAATATATAATATATATATATATAAATAAAATAATAAAGGATCTAAATAAATAACACTTTCATTGTTCCAAGTGTGATTCAATAGGAATAATCTTTTATTATTGTCATAAAAATGGAGATTTTGTATCAATTCAATAGTTTTGTTACTGTATTTTTAATCGAAATTTTTAAATTTTTATACTCGCAACAATTACTTTTTATAGAGTTCTTTACATTTTGTGATTACTTCGTGAAAAATACGAGAATAAGTCGAGCTGCAAATTTTAGGATTACCCCAATTAAAGATCTATGATTATCTTTACTTGAATTCATTTAAAAAATGTTCATTTAACATTTATAACATTAAAATTATTTGTTGCACAAATTACTTGGCTATGATATTTATACTGTTGAATTTGTTAATAAAAATATATCTATAGTATAAAATTTAAATAAAGATTAACATTATATCTATTACAAATATAAAAAAAGATTAAATATAATAAAAATCTGGAAAATTTTTTAATTTCTTGAATAAAAATGATTATACATATTGAAATAAAAAATATAATTTTACTATGTTGAACTAAATATTATTAAAAGCATAATAATCGCTATTTTATAATTAATAAGAATTGTATTAATAATATATAAAAAAAACTAATAATAGCTTTGTTCTTTTAATATATCATAATTTTTAACTTTTTTATTTCTGTAGATGTGTGTATACTTATGAATATGAGAGGATAAGGTATCATGTTTTCATTATAAAATAATTTTAAATTCATAAGCAAAATAAGACAAACCTCCAGGCTTTCCAATTTTTCCTGTAGAGATAGGACTTGGTACAGAGTATCCACTTATTTCTCCTTCAAATTCTTCGATATCCCCCTCAGATTCAGAATCTTCATAGACTTCGTGTTTTTTATTGAAAGTATTACTCGGAGAATAATGACGATATATATCATCCAGAGTCGTTGTTCTGTTACATTTTTATACGCTTTAGAGTCATTATATATTTTTTTATTATAAATAGTAATAACATAATAAAATTATTAACAGAAAAATTATATTTCATAAAAAAATTAAAAAATTAAAATCATTAACTCGAAATTTGTTTGAATAAAATTTTTCTTCGATATCGAATATATTTTTTAATTTGAATCTTAATTCTGATGAAAACTAATAATGAAAGTATTCAAAAGTTGTAATTTAAGCATACATATAACCTATTTGAACAAGTATTCTAAAATATTCTGAATCTGTTTATTCGTCATTAAAATTTGACAGTTTATTTATATATATATATATATATATATACTATAAAAATAAAATCAACCTATGCAACCAATCTTTATATTTTAAACTGCCTTCATCGGATAAAAGTTTGTCATGAACGGTGATATTTTGTTCTCCCAAAAAATCGGGTATAGAATTCCCTGATGAAAATTCATTTCGACGCTTCACTCGAACTGTTCCGATTTCCTTGAATATCTCCTCAGCAATATATCCATGACAAAGATACTGATTCATTTGCTTTCTGCAAATATATAAAGGATACTATAAAAAATATTAACTTAAATTTTATTCAACGAAACTCTGTATATTAATTAACTGTATAATAATAATAATAATAGTAATAATAATTTACTTATTTTAAGTAAATTTTAAGTACTCCTAACAATTATTTGAGTTTCATACATTTACAAGAGTAAAGAAATTTGCATATACCTGTGATATTCCATTTCGTCTAATGCTGATACGAACGAGCCATCAGTTAAAATATTATCGGTCGATTTCGATATATTATCGCTGTAATGTTGGCCCATGAGAAAAACAGAGCCGGGGAGCAGATCCACGGATAGAATGTCATTGCGGTCAATACAAAATTCATTACCATCGTCGTAACATTCGTGTGTACAAGCCACTCCACCGATTAATATAGACAACACTACCAAATTCATATCACGAGCAAATTTGTGAAAAAACAGAGAAGACTGTTACAAAGTCGCTCGTTCGAGGACCGAATGGGTATGAAAGTCTTGGGCGACACGCTCCCAATGCTCGTCGCGTAAAATAATTGGCATAACTGTAAGCCATGCTCATGAAACTGGAAAGTCACACGTTCCTCATCACCTACAAACGTCAGGGCAATTGTTCTGAACCGTAATGCAACAATCAATATCTCTTGAGAAACAATTTTGTTATTATAATTACAGACTAACCTGTCCCCACTGTGTATTATTAATATTTTCTTTCTCAATAATATCTTAATAGTTCAAAGTTATTTGTAGACAAGAAATAATTAAATATATTTTCCATACCTCCTTTAATTAAAATATAAATTAAACATTTTTATTACAAGTAAGTTAGAAATTAAAGCCATATTAACATTTAGCTGTTTATTTACTTATTGCTTATTTAAATTAAGTCATAAATTATTTTATTTAAATTTGTTTAAAATTGTTTTTATTTAAATCGTAATTCTTTATGATCTTTTTCTATGAAACTGTGTAAATTTATGTTTATAATATATTAGATTATATGTATTATTAATTATATGTATTAATGTATAATACGCAATTATGTATTTTTATGAAATTGACTTTTTTTAAGCATTATCATTAGAAAAATGTAATGTCAAAATTGATTAATTAGTCTTTAACTCAGAATATATTTTCATTAAAAAATACCTATGTTATATTCATATAATAGTTATATAATAATTTTCCTAATTTGTAATATATATTTTTATATACTTTTATATGATTTCAATTAAAAATGTATCAACAATTTTATTAAAAATGATCTATTATAAAATAGTTTTAATGAACATTATTTCAAATAAACACAGAAATAAACAAATAAACAATATTACAAAAAGTATATTACATTTTGTTACGGATTAAAAAGTTGAAAATCGAAAGTGGGAGAATCAAAAAAGTTGAAAATCGAAAGTGGGAGAATCAGAAAAGTTGAAAGTCGAAAGTGGAAGAGGTATGAACGCGCAATTCAGTTATTTAAACTAAACACCAGCAACGAACGTTCCAGGCTATACCCTGTTGACACGTCACGACCAATATCGTCATGGTAACAAACACCGGCGTTTAAGGAATAGTGCGATAATATTTAAGGGCTGCAACTCAGTTAGCCTCAGTCTAGTAACAATTATAAAGTCATTATAGCATGCGCATTATTCACCTTCAAGCTTTTCTCTATAGTTATCACTCACTGTAGCGATATAAATACGTAATCATTAATCAAGTAATTAATCTAAGAAAGAAATAGTGACGCTATATTCTAGAATTCATTAAACTAATCATAAATTAATAACGCACTTGTGCTAATATAAAACAACAGTAAAAACATAAAATTCATTATTATATATGCTCACGGATAAGGCCGACACATACACAGGTGACGGGACCAACGCATACTATTATATATGCTCATGGATAAGACCGACGCATATACAGGTGACGGGACAATGCATATTATTATTATTATATGCTCACGGATTAAACCAACGCATATTACAACAAAAAGTATATACACTCATCAACACGTATCAATAGAGAAGAAACTTCACATATTTAATGCAATCATACCATAATTCATATACTTCATGATCATTAATTATTCATTATATTATTATATTTAATAAAGGGAAAGAAAAATAAATACTGTCCCTTCCACTTGCCAGCAATATCTCCACCCAACATCTAAAGAAGGTCTTCAGTCTGATCTCAGATAATTTGGTCCTTCGATCCGGATAAGTGGAATTCAGTGTATTTGTCCAGGACTATTATATCGAAAGAAAAATAGTCATAATATATTATTGCACGCAGACAATCATTAAATAAAGAAATTTTTTTCATTACTGTAAATACACCATTATTGTACTCATTATAACAAAATGTCAACTCAAAACAAAAAAGAAATAAACGAATCAGTGAGTGCAAATAATTCCATCGTTCACGAACCCACTACACGTAATTCAACTAAGGATAAGCTAACAAACGAGAAAATATTAAAGGCCAAATCACAGTGGACACGGATTACCACTATTAATACACTAATTGACAATCTCAACGCAGAGTACACAGACAGTGACCTCTGTACAGTACGAGTAATAAAAAATACCATTGATGATTTACACAGCAAATTCATGATAGAACATGACTGCGTAGAAGCTACCTGGCCACAATCAGGCATCACTCATGAATACGTTACAGAAAATGCCTTATTAAAGGAAGCAATTTGTCATGCAAAGGCAACAACGGTGATCATGAAATTATGCCAACAACTGGGCGATTCGACACAACAAGGGCAAACTAACAATAAAGAGGAAAAGACAGTTCATGAAGACTCACAAGCAATCACGTGCCTTCCCGACATTCCTATTCCAAAATTTACCGGAGATTATTTGGAATGGCCTATGTTTACGGATTTATTTCAATCATTATTTCTCAAAAGTAAAAAATTAAGTGATGTGCAAAAAATTACACTACCTGTGCAACTGTCTAGAAGGATCCGCAGCAAGGATAATATCAGGCATATCCCTGCAAAACACATGTCTGCATACCGCATGGAACAAACTGTTAGAGAAATATAATTCTCCCAGACTGGGGGAATCCAATCGAGGACCACGAAATCTGCTACATAATTAGAAAAATTAATGAGCAGATTGACTAATTTATTAGAAGCAATAAAACAATATGATATCCCAGATGCATGGGACGCTTTAATGGTACACATTGCATTAGTGCACATAGACGACCAAACAAGAACAGCATGAGAACAATCATTAGGGAACAATAATGCATACCCAATGTTCGCACAATTAAGAACATTCATATTGGCCAAGGTATAAGAACTAGAAAACGTTACACTTTTACTATTTTACATATATTGAAAAATAATAAAGATTAAATCGGAATATAATATTAGTTATAATATCAATAAATTAATTTATAACGTAAGTTTTATTTATTATCAGTAAATTGTGCAATATGTTTTAATACTAGTTAGTTGAATAATAATGAACAAGATTCTTTGCATATCAAATAATATTAAATACAGTATATTTTATTTTTTATTTATATTTTTATTTGATTTATAGTATATTTATATTTTAAAATATGATTAGGTGAAGCGAAGTAAATCATGGAATTTACTACTCCGAATAACTTTTCATTCGTTAAATACAATTGTTAAAAAAAATTAAATTATTATTTAATCATTATAAAACTATTTTTTGGTATATTTTTTGATGATGACATAATAACTTGTTTTTATTACGATCTTCATTGCCTGTTATCTTAGTATTAAAATATTTTCTAATAATACGCTATAAATATAGTTTATTTATATAGATATTTATATAGATTCATTTTGTTTATTTAGATTACAGATTTCATGACATATTTAATATACTCTCTATTCAATGAATGTTTTATATAATTATAGATATTAGTTGCTTTTTGGAAATTTCTTGACGAAATAGCCTTGATTTGAGAAACATTAAAAAAAAAAGACAGGTATTGAATTTATATTATTAAAACAACTTGAATTTTCGCCTATTATATAAGAAATTAACGGAGCATAATTATTCCAATGAAACACGATTCCTTTTAGTATTTTGGATATATATTTGTACATGGTTGACTATTAATTCACAAAGTAAGGTAACACAGGAAATAATAAATCCTAGAATTAACACTGTTACTAATTTTTGTTTCAAGAATTGATCAAATACCATAGTACTATTTTCATTAGTAAGTAAGGTGTATTTTTTATTGTTTTTTTTATTATTATCGATTCTCCACTTCATCCATAGACCAGTATCAGTTATACGTTGAAATATTTTGTCAAATTCGATAACATATGGTGAAGCTTCAGATAAAATATATCCTTTTGGACCGGTCCAAAAAACATAATTATTGAGAATCTTCATTCTAGGCGCTTCATTATGAGTGCTGCGCACTATACTGGCTGCCGCTACCGATTTATCTATCAAACAACCTATTTTAGGATTTTCCAATACTCTGCTTGGACAGTTCAATAAGTCCGTGACCAGTTTGACCTTTTTTTTTAAGCGTCCTGTTAATTCATTTTCCTCATAAAATATTATTTTTGCATAATTATTGTGTGTTTCTAAAGTAATATCAGCATTTATTAAGTCATTGATAGATTCATAGGGACCCATGTTGACTTCATTTAGATTCTTGTCAGCTAATTTTGCGTACCAATTAGTGGAATATTTATAAGACATAAGAAATAGAAGTACAAAAAATAATCGCTCTATAGATCGTCGTGGTAGCTTTGGTATAGGATTACCTAGGAGAATTTGAAAAATGTAATACGATGACCAATATTGCCCATTAAATTTGCAAATCTTAATAATTAGGTACATCAAACCAACGTGAGCGATGATACTTGCTATTATAAGTGAGATATTGAATTGTACCCATAAGGAAGATTGAAATATTGGGACTAGAGCAATTACTTCGTCTAACCATATTACATCACTATGCTCATTGTATAACTTTTCACTTCTATTCTGTATATTAAAATACATAAATACTTGATTGGCTCCATAGTTGATCTGTCCCTCTATAATTAAATCTATTAAATTAACGCAAGCATTTCCAAACGGCTCGAAATAATTTGTGATGTTAGGAGTTATTAAATTCATTGAGAAGTTTAGATATTCTGATGTAATTAATAAGGAGCCATAATCTGAGCCATTTATATTTATCGGATTACCGGCTAAATCTCTATCAAAATTAACTGCAGGTGGTTGAACTATTAAAGCTACATTAAATGGATAGCCATTCATTTGCTTCAATTTGTTTAAAAATATGGTGATCCCGGAGCAAAAGCAAGTAACCGAATAAACATTTGTAAATGGATTATAAGTACTCACTAGAATATTACTTTTGCAAATGCTGTCATCTGTCACTAATTGAATAATTGTAATTTCAAGAAATTTTTTTGTCCATGCATATTTTAATATCGCGTTAATTGATTTTGTTGAAATCTGCTTGCGAATATTTAAAATAAATAAACAAATAGGTCTTATATTATGTGATAGGTTCATAATAAATTTTATATTTTGTTTAAAATCAATCTTCATTGATTCGACTGAATCTTTATATTCGAAATTGACATGAAGTAATGAAAGAAATAATGTGGTATATCTTGGATTTTGTAGCAGTGGACGTTCAGGATTTGTATATAAACGAAAATCTTTAAATATCGATGATTTAATTATTAGAACTGGTCTTCTAATTGATATTTGTTTAACTATAAAATTAACATCTATATGATAATTTTTACTTAAACATTCATATTCATAATTTCGTATTATTATTGACACTTGATAGGGTTTTACTTCATTTAAAACACATTTTATCATATTACTAATATAAGCAGATTGTTGCACATTTATAGCATTACATTTTTCATAGTCCAAATTTACAAATAAATATATTACAATAATAGTCAGTTGTTTTAATTTTTTTTTATCATGTAATAAATGCATTTTCGCTTATTAATCAGTAAAAATTAAATTATTAGCTATCCATTATTATATACACATCTTTTAAAATATTATAAATCCAGGAATTGAAAGATTACATTCTCGACTATAGAAATCTAATTCACTTTTTATAATTGTAAGATATTTAGTATGTTTGGAAATCTGCAAATCAAAAAAAATTATAATAAACGATTTATATTATAATTGAAATTTTTTTAAAATTCAATTAAATTTACATAAACATATTAAATAATATTCCGATTAAAGGAAATATAATACATTCACAAGCACATTAGATGGTAATTAATTACATAATAATACATTTAATATTATTGACTTAAACTATTTAAGAATTTTTAAATACATTTTACTTGGCTCAAAGTTACTTACCAAAATATTACAAGTATAAAATTTTAGTATTTTATAATTTTAGCTACTTCACAGATAATACAACTTAAACGAGAAGCTTAAAAATTTACGCAGTTTATCTTTTATATTTATCAACTGTTCAATGTTTTCTTATATTAATTAATTTTGTTTTTTTTTTAATATTCAAGATAATTTTATATTTCGGATAAAATAAATTCTAGTGAAATAATTAATATTAGTTTCAACAATTTTTTATTTCACAAATTCAAATATTTTAGGTCCAGAATATAATTTATTTTATATCATTTAGCCGGACTAATATTACTAATAATTTTTATCGACTGCTCTTTTTCTCGAGGAACAGAAAGAATAAAGTATTGTCATTGTTAATTACAATTTTCTGAATATCATCTACATAAGCAATTCATTTAATGAAAATAATTATATCATTTATTATATACTAGATACTACTTTAATTAACTGAGTAATATTTTCATTTTTAATGGTATTAATTGATTGATGGCAACTATTAATTATTTTAATTAACTAAAAAATGCAGATCATTTCTAATATCATAATATTTCACAGTTAGACATACACATTTCAAGGATTTGAATTAAATTTTCTAGAAAAGCTTAAGATATAACAAATTGTGTGACAATTAATTACCACAGAATTGATAAAATAATATTTAGTTATACATATTCATCCTTTATATCAATTTATCATTTTTATTTTATTAATAAAAGTAGATTAAATTTAGTTTAACAATTTGAAACATTCAAGGTATTTTTATTCGGGATATTTTTAATGAAGAAAAATTGAATGGAAATAAAATCATTAATTTGCTAAAAAATAATTTCACGATCAGGAGTACAATAAGTTTGGATTTTTTATTATAAATTATTTCCTATTGAAAAGATTCATTGAAATGTTTAACGTATTAGAATTAGTATTAATAATATACACTAATTGAATTATATAAAATAATATATATAGAATATAATTTATTCACTAATAATGTTAAATGTAAAATTTTTGTTTTAGAAGAAATAAGAGACAAATAGAAGAATAAGAAAAGAAGTAAATAAAAGAATTCAAAAAATTAAAAGTCACAAATAGAAAAGTAAAGTAAATAACTGAAGATATGATAGGCGACTATTTACGACAAAAATATATAATACATGTAAAACAAATATTACTTAATAAAATTAACCAATATAATATTAATAAAAAAATAAGATCAATACAACGTCAATCGCAAAATAGTAAGTAATAACAAGTAATTGAGTCTTCAAGTAAACTAATGCTTCGGTCATAAATTGAATTAATATGAATAATATAATAATTATCTTGATATACCATTAGTAAAATTTTATGAATTGACAAAATACATGATAGTGGCATTATCATAATATTTTTTTGGTACAGAAATACGTCGTACAAAACAGCACAAGTCTAATTTAAATAGCAAAAGCATTGAGAAAATTGTAACTACCATTACTTGTAAATTAAAATAATAATAAAATTCTTCACAATAGCGAACAATTTGTATTGGGCATTTTGATAATGAAAGAAAAATTTACAACAGTTTGCAAGAAAAAAAGTGTATTGATTTATGGGTTATTTATAGATTCTACACACGCGTATAGCTACTACACATATACATATATATCTGTTTTGCCTGTTTGTAGAATCACAATAGTTTTATTGCTATACGTATATGCCTATTATTTGATTGGATATTCCAATGACATTTTTATTTTGCATAAATTTACAGTTATTATATTCTAAACTTCTTGTTTTTTAACTTTTAATCATTAACAATTGAGTGATAGTGAAAATGGGTAAAATAAAAATAACATAAAAATGTCGGATATAATAATAGAAGAAAAAAGGAATATGAGAAATAGATCATACAGTGGAATCTAATGTATATAATATAGTATATAATCTGCTGTAATAAAGAATAATTATTAATTTTCTCGTTGTTGGTTTTTTTCTTTTTTGAGGAAATTTCAGTCAATGTCATTGATTGTCACTAACATTGTAATTATGTAAATATAAAATACATCTGTCAAACTTTTATTATTTAAATCAATCTATCTTATCGAAATTAGTTTCTCTAATACACAGCGAAATAATCTTTTTATCGTTCGTATTAATTAATAGAGCCACTGATATGGATCTTAAAACATAATATTTCATTTCATAGGTTTACAATTTTATTATATTTCCTATTATTATTAATATGTATTAATTTATACACTACACAAACATTTATACAAAATAAAAAAAAAATGTTTTTAGCAAATTAATGTACTAATGAACTTCTACTCTGGTAAATAGAAACCTTATGTTATTGTAATGCATTACAGAAATATAAGAAATACTAATATTCAAATGTAAACAGAAAATAATTCATGTGTGATTACTTACGTATTATTATTTGTGTTTTAATTGCTTAATAATCAATAACTAATACATTGATTATAATATATATAATAAATAAATAATAATAAATTTCATTGTTAGTATTTAGAAAAATGATTGAATTAACTTTTTTTTTCAACATTGACATTCATCTGTTATTCTAAACTTATCTATATAATGTTTTTTCATAATCAAATTTAAAAAATATTTTTATAAATATATTTTCTTTGAACTTCTAATTGCGAGTTAAATATATTCTGATAATCATTTAATGAAATAAAAGAATATAATAGAAAAGAATTTCTTTGTTTAATTTTTGACATTTTACTGCCAGTATATTGCGGGATTGAATTAGTATAATAACCATAGTACTATAGATAGTCCATAGTTGATTTAAATAAATGTAACATTACATTTCATAGACTGTAAGTATAGAATTTAAACAAAAATATCTTCTTAGAAAATTGTTATAATTTATTATTACATGGATAAATTTAATTATAATGTAAAAATCTATTATTTCTGAGATTAATTTTAATATTGCTTACTAATATGAATTTTATTTATTTATTTTCAATTTTTCAACATTTTATTCTATTAAAATTTTAATAAAATTAATTATTCAAAGTACTTATGTTTTTTAGCTATACGTTAAATGCTTTAAAAATAGATTTTAGACATTAATATGACAGGTATTTTGAGTAAAAAGAATAATATTATAATATTTAATGTAGAGTTGTCGTATTTGTAAGTAGTTCTTAGAATGTCTTTAATTTTTTTTAATTTTTGATGAAAAGCAATACTTGAATGAATCATTATAAATTTTTAAAGTAAGTCTAATGAAAGTTTTAAATTTACAATTCAAAATTAACACTACTGTTATAATTAACAAATTAATATAACAAAATAATAAAATTGACATATTTATTGTTTCAAATGCTTGTTTTACATTCACATGTCTTTTTATACATTTTTTTTATATTTAAATTAAATCATTAAATTATTATTTGTTTACCCCCGTTCGTTACATATTTCAATTGAGGTAAGTTTTAAAATGTTTGAAATAATGTTTTTTGGTTTTTGAATATACATTATTTGTATGTATATAATAGCTTATTTTTATGTATACAATAAAGATAAAAGAAAACAGAGCTATACGATATAGCAAATTTATATTATGATTAATTTTTCAAGCATTTATTAAATAAACCTATTTTGAAACTGGTTAAATCGAAATATTTTCTTCAATAATATAAGCCAATAAATAACTTTTCAATAATCATAGATAATTCTTTTAAATCATTTTTCACGATTTGACAATTGAATTACAAGTTGTCCATGCCTTGTGCTTGTTGCTGCCGTTGAACTTGCTGTTGTAATTGTTGTGTAACAGTGTCGGTACTCATCGACGGATCATCGAAAATAAGTGGCGCCGCTGAATAGTAGGGTAGCAAAGGATACTGCGTCGGCGGAAAATACGCTGGTGGAAAGAAACCCTGGCGATGGGCCATCTTCAATCTCGAGGTCAGCTGTTTCTTCCACTTGGTCCGTCGATTTTGAAACCAAGTCTTTATTTGCACTTCCGTCAGACTCAAGCATTTTGAGAGCTCCATCCGCTTGCTCACACTCAGGTATTTGTCCACCTGAAACGAATTCCTTTTACTTACAGAATAGTTTTATTTAATAGAAGAAACTTTGAAACTCACTAATTATTAAAATCTATAATTGATTAAACAAAGATATTTGTTTTATACAGGAAAGTGAAATTACGACTTATTTTTTATAACGTAATTATAACGCTATCATTCTTCCAAACAACTCTTTTGAAATTTATTAAAATTCCTTTTCACATGCGCATATAAGCACATGCATATGTATATGGAACGGGGAAATTAAAAAAAGAGGAAGATACCTTATGTGTATGTATATGCATATATAATTATGCATTTATAAAACTGTATCTGCAGTAAAAATTTCTAAATTTATGTAGATACATATAATAAATACAAATTTAAGTATCTATAAAATAAAAATGACAAATAAAATACAAAGTAAAAGAATTCGCAGGAAATACTTTTCAGTTGTAGTTCTTGAAAATGATACTGAACGTCGGCCTTTTTGTAGTTAGAATTTAAAGCGTATTCAAATATTTTGTGTCCTAGTATCTGTAATACATATGTAAAAATAATTCTTGTAAATATTTCTTTTTATTACTACGAAGATTTTTTTTAAATATTAGTTGTGAAACAATAAGACCCCAAATATTCCGTATTAGTCTTATTTTTTAATTAAATTGTAATAGTTATTTAAGACTAAGTAATTGTAGTAAATTATATTTACTCTTTATAAACTGATTATCCGTAAAACGATTTAGTCTTTACAGTCAGGAGCGATAATATATTCTAACTTACTTGATAAATGAGTTAGTAGCATTTATCACTTCAATTAGAAATCTAGTAATTATATCCATCAAAATATTGCATTGCTATTTATAAATATTTGCAGTTTTACTTTAAATCGTTTTTGTAATTCTTAAACATTTTTCATTATCACTATTTTTATGCATTGTTCTTTTGTATTTTTTCTACCTACGCTCTTTAACATTATATTTCTATTTTATTTTATGTATTAAAGTCTCAGTCCATAATCTGTTAGAATGAGATAACATTATACTGAAGTTTTAATAAGAATAATTCGTTACAATAATATAATACAGTAAATTTTTACTGTGTTTTTTCAGTGGACTTTAGATGTCATAATAGTATATTTCATTATAATAAATATGTAGATTGGGATATTCAATACGATTTTAATATATGCAGCAGCTTATTCACAATTATATACATTTGAAAAAATTGATTGTTTTCTTATATAAAACAATAAAAGAATCTACAACTTATCAATAAATGAAACAGATATTTTTTTACCAATCAATAATTAATATTATTAAAATTAAGTACTCAAAAATTAGTTTCACAAACATACTTTAAATTCAGCCTCAAGCCTCTCGAGCTGCTTTGCACTATAAGCTTGTCTTGGTTTTCTATCAATTCCAGGTTTACGTGATCGTCTACCACCTGGTTTAGGAGCTGAAAAATCTCATATTAATTAATTTCGAGATTTAAATATATAATAATACTATTCATGAATAAAATAATTTAAGTAAGACATATATAAACGTTAGAAACGTTGGGCAGCTTTATTACTTTCATACATTACCAATTAATTAAACTCAAAATAAATACAAATGCCACTGAAATTATATAATTCTATTTGTAATTTAATTAGATATAATTATAATATAATATAATTATAATAGAATATAATTTTTTTAAAAAGATTATATAATTATGTATTAAAATATCAAACAAATTAAAAGAAAATTACTAATGCTTTTAAATTATGTTAAATAAATATAAATATATATATATATATATATATATATATATATGGAACATTATTATATTATATATTATTATATATATATTTCTAATACTATTATACAAAATACAATTAAATTACATTATTATATTCTTTTTAAAAATAATAATTTAATAAATTATTTTAAGCGTGCAATTATATAAAATAGTTTTAATTATAATACTTAAAATTACATTTTTTTTTAGATTTTTCTATACGTAAAATAAATAGCATGAGCAAGTAACTGGGGTTTTAAGAAGTTTGTATTGTATTTTTAAAAATAATACTGCAGTTAATATTGGTTAAATTTTCGAAATAAAATGGATAGTATCGAATATTCTAAATAAGAGAGACTTCATTATTCAAATACTTTTAAGTTGAAACCATAAAATAATGTACTTGTTATATATTGTACTTAAATTATCTTACTTTGAACAGTATTCAGATTTTCTCGGCAGAGCAGTTTTTAAATGGTAATACAAATTTATGCATATATAACTTAAAATTTATCATTATTAATTATAAGCATTTAATATTCTTATTACGAGTTAATTGCATTAAATACTATTTGCTATAATTATTATAAAGATAACATTCATATTGACAAATTGAGCTAGCGTATTTGACTAAACAAACACTTTGAAAAAATGTATTTACACATACTAAAAAAATGAAAAATATGGCTAAGAAAACTTATTGCTAAGTGTCAAATTTGTCGTTGACATCTTAAACCTCAAGATTTACAGTCATGCTAATGGGAGAGTCGAGATTGAAAATAATGAAACTTCTAACCGTTGATCGTATACACCGGTATATGTGCGTATTACTCGTTTATGGAGAAAAAGATATGTAGTAAAACAAACAGATCGTTTTGTTCATCCAGCGACATCTAGCAAAAACAACCTGCAAGAATAACAAACCTGACTAAACGGTTCTGACGGTCTATTTAACACCTACGAGACGACACTTCGGTGTTAAATCTACATGCAGAGTGTAACACTAAGTTACTTGCTGATGAAGATAATATGTACAATTTTACGTTTGCCAGATTTATATTTAATAATTGTTTTTCTGTAATTTAATATTTTTTTACTTATTAATATTGCATCGAATGTTGACATCGGCAATATAAAATTACAAATGAACGAACAAACGTGTACAAACAAAATAAAAAACAAAAAAAAAACCAAGTACAAATAACATTGCATACGTCTATAGAAATACATAAAAAACATACAAATATACGTATATTCTTCTAAACAGTTAAAGGACGGACAGGACAGAAAAACGTCGCCAAACGCATCCCTACGGAGGTGCTAACACGGCGGTTTGTTGGGTCATTAGTATCTTTTACGGATTGCTAAAAGTATTAGCACCTAATGATGATCATAGATACTGTTTATTTTTTTTGAAACGCTTTCGTTTGAGGTGTGTATGGTAATTTCAGAGAAAGTGGAGAACAATCTAATTGTGATTCAATATTTGAACGCTTGAAAAAAAAAGTTACTTAACTAAAGGGGAAAATTCATATTTATTTTCAATAAAATATATGCACGTTTTATTTACTAGCTGAAAAGTAACATAATTTGTAAACACAATATTAGAATTATAATATGAGTAAAATAATAAATTTTTATAAATTTTTTTAAATATGTATCGGTAGCATTTTTTTATCACTAAAGAGTATACGAAAAACTTTTTAAATCCTTTATAAATGATAGACTTCACAAATTAAGTTCATTTTATTTATTGCAAAATATTTAACTTTGCATTATTAAATCTTTTTTTTTTATAATTAACTATTGAACATTATGTTTTATTAGTATCAACGGTTTCAAAATTATTCTATCATCGTTACTACATAATATCAATAGAAAAATGTATTTTACAAAGTTAAAAATGTTTAAGTGTAAATAAAATGTAATGCAAAATTTTTTAATTTAAGCAATTTTCAGGCTCTTGTAATATGAATCATTAGAGATTCCATATATGTCTACTAATTGACTAGAAGAAACAAAAAAGTGTCAATATGATTCCAAATGTACTTAAACATTTAACATGTTTCCTGTGCGTTATAGTTGACACGTTGATAAATGAATTTGTAATATACATTTGTCACTACATAGTAAGAGGAAAATATGATTTTTATACATCATTCAAAATACAAAATTTTTACTCTTTTTATTCATCAAATTCAATACAGTTTATATACAATATGATTTAATAAAAATTTTACTATCTGAATTTTTTATTCTTTTCTAATGTAACACTTATAATATGTGTAAATTTTTATGAATGATATATAAAAATAATTTATATAATAAAGATAAAGATCAAGAGCAGTCGTTCCCTAATCAAATAGAATTTTATAATTTTATACTACAAATTCAATTTTACTATATTAGAATTGAATAATTTTGTTGTTATTAATACTTTCCATTTCCATTTAGTCAAATATACTCAACGTACTTTAATACCACTTAAATATAGAAAAGAAACTTTTTTTTTTAACATTAAATATATAAAATAGTTATTTTAAATTTATCCTTATTTATATATAGACATATATAAATTATATTGACAGTATCTCTGTTAAAAATGTATCTTTATTCCTCTCTAATATAATTGCCTTGTACTATACGTAATTCAAGATTTCATTCTAATTTGATTCGAAATGCTGAAGAAGCAGATGTTTATTACACGTTGATTGAAAATTCGAGTTTGATAGATGAGAGTGGGGAAAAGAATAGTGAGAAAATATTAAGTTCCATATTAAGTGTACTAATGGATTTTTGCTTCAGTATAGATCATTTTAACGGACAATAGAGTCGGGACTACATAAACCCGTAAATGTTACGTAGCACGAGAAAGACCCATTAGCCCCAAGTTTCCTTGTTCATAGTCAATTTTACTGTTCTTAAATTTACGGTCACATTTCACCTTTTCAATATACTTTTATATTCTTTTAAATTATTTACGTTATCTATATTACGAAATATATTTATTTTTTTTTTTTTTTGCAGACAACTAAATTAAATAAGAAAATTAATTATGTGGTTCGGTAAATTAGCGATCTATTTTTAAATAATTTGGATGAAACAAACAGTACTATTAAATTTTATGATTGATAAAATTAAAATTATTCTTTACCTTGCAATCCGAATATTTGATTAGGTTTTGACTGAATGAACCAACTGTTGTATAAGAATGATGCAGAAGCAAAGGAAGTTGCTGAGTAATTTGAGGGATCTACCAAATTAGCTTCGGAAAATTGTAAATTCGTCATGGGATACAATCCGCTATTTCTATCTAAGAGAAAAACAAACACAAACAATTATTAAGTAAATATTATCTTTACCAATTATTTTAATCGAATAATATAAAATCATCGTTCTTATATTAATTATTTTACGATATTATAGTATTGCAATATTATTAATATAATTTTTGTTTTCTATAAATTTCGATTTAACTTGAAATCTTTAAGAAGTAAAAAATGTTCTATAATGTGTAATCGCCTTGATACGTAATAAAAATAAAGCAATGGAAATTTTCTTTTTTTTTCATAATTTTTTTTTTTTCAAAATTTAGAATCTGTATAACGTATTATAATAGTAAAAAAAAAACTAAATGGTTATCATAAATACAAAAATATACTATATTTCAGTGTCAGCTGCGTTAATAATTAAAAATATTATAACATATTCATACATTTGATGGCATAATAGATATTTAGAATATAGGACCTAATTACATTTAAAATATAGAACCTTTCTACTATATCGTTTCCTTGCCTTATACTTAAGAAATATTCTATCAGTATCTTTATTATTAAAAATTTTTAAGAGAAACTAATATAAAAAATGAACATAATTTAACAAAAATATATTTATTTATTGTAAAAAAAATGATAATTTAACGACACTTGAAAAGTTGGTTCTGTATGTAGACTTTTATAAGTCTAGAATGAAATTAGAATAAATAAAAATTTGTCATTTTGATATTTTAAATAATTCAAGATATTTAGTAAATATATTTTTATATTTAAGTAATATAATTTTTTAAACTAATAACCATTTCCTTGAAACTTTTCTAAATGAATAAATGTGGAAGCGTTAAGTATTTAGCAAACAAAGTTAATCCATAAGTAAATATCAGCCAGTCTAAAGTACGGTAAATTTGTTAACCATTTTTTAAATTTCTTTAGACATATATATGAAAATTTAAGATTACAATTATAAATACATGATCCTTGATACCTGCGTAATCCATAGTATTCATTATTATATATTATTTGCTTATCTTATGATAAATAAAGTAATTTTTACTTAACAATAAAATTATTCACTAATGTTTGAATTCATTGAGCAAAATTTTACTTTGTCGCTTCTATTCTTTTGAATTCTCGACAATGAATAATTCGTCGAATGCAATTCAACAAATAAAATATGTTTTAGTTAAAAATGTAATGTAAAAATAGAAATAAATACATAAATTAAAATAAAAATTTAGATCTATTAAAAATGAGATATTTTGTATCGAATACTTAAGTTGCCAATATGATAATTCTATATATTTATCAATGATTTATAGTTTATCATTATTATCAGTGTTATTATTAATTATAATAATAATAATAATTATTATTATTAATCAATCAATTAATCAATCAAATTTATCAATAAAGTTACCGATGACAATGAATGAAAAATTGCTCATTTCACTTAGTATTGCACAAATGCTGTTTTTATATTGAATTTATTATTGAATAATATTGAATGATACCTAAGAATATTTTAAGTAAAAAGTGAGAATGATGAGCTACGACAACTAAAACTCACCGATAACGTTGCCGTCGGTTTCGACAGATCGTTTACCGCAGTCTCTTAGGGCTTCACTTTGACGCTCACTCGTGCGCCCAAGAATATTGTCGATAGAAAAGGTAACGCCCTTACCCGAGACCACGGCCGTGCCTAGACATGGAGTTTCCGAACTCGATTCCGAGGAGAAATTGTCATCACCACCGTCGGGTCGTGAGCTCGCTGGGCTAGACGGCCACGAGGAATCTACCTCCTCTGAAGTCATAGCGGTGACGCTGTTTCTTTGGTTCCTTTAGCTCGTCATTACTGTATTTGATATGAAATGAAGCGGTTCTCGATAGCTTCTGCTCTACGTTCCCAGACAATAATTGTTAACAAATAAACCATAATTTATAAATTATCGTTTTAGCCGTTAACAACATAGATAAAATAAAAAAACTATTCCAATGGTTTTAATTTGAAATCAAGAGGAGCGAATGTCTTTTTATATATGCATTGGTTCTGTTCTGAAAATATCGATATTTGATAAACTGATACACTATAATGAAATATGTAAATATTTTTAAGAAATAATATAATAAATGGTAAAAATTCATTAACTATTGGTGTCTAAATAGATTATATTTCTCGCGTAACAAGGCATTATATTTTCAAAATATTTCATCCTAAAACGTTTATTCAAAAGATACTAATAATATTAACAATTAATCTTTTATGCATTAAGTAAATTTGGACATATAATAAATAGAATTTTTGTTTCCATAAAAAATGTTTAAATTTATAATAAGTAATATTAAAATGGATTAGAATTGACAAATAATTCTGATAATTCATAAATTTTTTAAAATTATTATTTTGAAAAATATTTAATTAAATCTTACTATAATATTATAAGATTTTGTACAATTTTTATTTTGTATGCAATAATATACAGCAGCAATTAGTAAATATTAGCTAATGTTATAAAAAACAATGTACATTTACTTATGAATTGTATGATGAAAAATAACTAGAAATTATTTAACTTTTATTATTATGTTATTTTTACTATAATATTGCGATTATAAAAACGATAACTCACCTTATTTAAACAACCCTTTTTTCCTTTCGGCCGTTTGTTTTGTAAATATAAAGTGCATTGTTTAATGCAGCTTTTAAAGAAAATAATAACGTCTAGTTGTGCATGTAGAGTTTTCAACGACACTCCGAATTTCCACTGGTAACAAAATACTTGAGCGCGTTTGTGATTTACGAATTTGCTGTCATCACGGGCGAAGTACCAACTCGATGGTAGTATCTACCGTCTTCAAACGGGTCCAGCTATCATCCGTGGCTCTCCCACCATTAGGGGGCGCGGCTTCTTGTCGACGTTCAATATAGCAAGTGGGATTTAAAAATTCTTATTGGTTACGGGGCCGTTGAGCGCCTCTACATGCATTACTTAAGAATATTGTACCCCCTGTCCTATTGAAATGTAATTGAAATCAATTTTCTGGCGCTTTAGAGTTTATCCAAACAGAGTTGCTTTTTATATCGATGACTCTTTTATTCAATATGAATACAAGTTTGATATTGAATGATTTTTATTTTTTTTACTAAATTTTTACAGATTTAACAATAATATTTGATGTATTAATTACTATTGCATAATATTTCACTTTAGAATTAGCATAAAACAAAAACTATCTGAAATCAATTATATTATATAAACAGTATTATATTATATAGAACAATATTAATCAAATAATAAATTTCATACGATGTTTACGATTCATTATTGTAGAAATAGCTTAAACAACTTTTCGTAGGTGCACTTTTAATTGTAATCTTAAAGAATTAAAGAATACTTATGTATAACATTAATTTGATTGTACAAAGATTATAATAAGGAATAATAATAATTTATACTATAATTCATATATATTTTGCTTTTGAATTATACACGATATATACTTATTATGATTAAAAAATCTGTTAGTCAATCTGTTAGTTCAATCATCAATATTTAATTATTAATCCAATATAAAAAGTTTTTAATATTTCAAAATCTTAGCTTGCTTTCTCTTCAATAGTCATCAATCTCTAAATTTTTTAAAATACATTTTTACTTTATTAATCTATTTTCGATATTGTATAATCAATTTCTTTTACATTTTTAAATTCACAATTCATAGCGATATTATTGCATCTTATGTGCAAAACATCATTTTTATTAGATTCGTTAATTCAAAGAAACGACTTCCGGAGAAAGAATTGTGTGGATCGACATTTAGGACTTGTGAAACAATTTTCAAAGAAGCTCTTTATATCCATCTACCCTACTATTCTTGTCTGTCAATGATAAATCACCAAACGATAACATTCCAGTTTCCCGTCTTCTATGGTTTTCTTTTTAAGTTATTTTCATTTTTCTCGACCATTGTGATTTTTTATTCTCAATTGTATGAAAAGAAGAAACTTTTATTTCTGAACGAAAAAAAACCATTATCACAACTTTATTTTATTAAAAAATGTATTAATATATAAAGCTCTAATACTTTTGTCATTTAAATTTTATCATAATACTCTAACAAATATTTAATATTTTATAAAAATGAATATTTTTATTCTTTATTAATTTCTATTGAAAACTTGTTAAAATCATTTATTATATATAATTATTCCGTCCATAAACTTTTAATTACAAAAAGAAAGTTATTAAGTTTGAAGGTATTAAACAAACTATTTATTATACAAAAATTTCCTAGTAATATTTTATTAAAATCGATATCACAATTATCTACCTGTTTAAATTTTCCCTCTGTCTGCATCTCCCCATCACCGATCTCATTATATGTCATTCTCTCTCTCTTGATCCAAACTATATTTCATTGGCATTTGTCATACATAATAAATTATCATTACTTTTACACAAGTCACTTTCTCAATATCAAATAAATGTAGATATTTATGAAAACTCTCTTTTAATTTTTACACTCTTTTACAAAAAATTAGAAAGATATTTAAATAAAAAAATATTTTATACTGGTTCTTTAGATTATATCTTTTTAATTAGTAATATATATAAAATTATTTTAAAAGCAGGCTTGTTCGTTGCTTTTAAATTTGTCAATATTTTTTAAATATGCTTTTTTTTTATTTAATTTGAGAATTAATAATTAATAAGTAAGGAACTATTCATGCAACTGAAAGATATTTAAATAACTATTTGTAACCAATTATAAATCAAACTGGAGTACATGTAAAATAAATCATAAAAATTAACAATTATTTTAAACACAAATGTTAAACAGACTTTGTATTATTTATTTCCTTTTTATTATTGAAAATAATATATTTTATTATTCATGAACCTAAATGGCAAATAAATATTAAAAAACAAACTGAAAAAAGGAATGAATAAATATTGCATATGTGATTAATTCAATATTTATTATTACTTAGTTTGTAGCAGATAATTAAATACAAGCTATATAAAATAATAATTTATAAAAATAAGAACAAAGTATCTATTTAATTTAAAGTTTTATAAAAAATATTTACAGTTATAACATTATATGATAAATTTACTAAAAATCTTACATAATATATTATTTGAAATTAAATGAAAATTTAATATAACATAAATAAAAAGTATTAAATATTTAAAAAAAATTAAATTTCTAAAACATAAAACATTTAAATACCTATGTAAGATACCAATAAATGAAACGCTAATTTTTCATATTCATATAACTGCTATTTGATATTGTCTAATAGAGCCTGAATTCGTAAGATCGGCCCACTAGATGATTAATAATCTAACATCGCCATTTTCTCGCACTCAGTACCGATTGGCTACATTTTCTTCGGCAACCTAGTTAAGCCACGCCCATTGTTGGGCCAAGAGGAGGAGAACGGGATGTGATGATGAATGAGCGAATAATCCAAATTAATGTAAACATTTGAAAATCATATTATCAGATATTAAAGAAGAATATAAAAATAATAAATTAAAATTTATAAAAGAAAATAAAAAGTTTAAATAATTAAGATTGTAATTAAATAAAATTTGTGTTTAACAATTATTTTGAAAGAACAAAAAAATATTTCAAATATTTACAATAAATGTTTGGAACTATCAGATTTTAGATTAGCTTTATAATGAATGAAAAATTTTTCAAATCATGCATTATATAATCGGTACGAAACATTATTTGAAAGATGGAAGTTTAGAAAAAAATGTATATATATATTTGTAAATATTAATAATGAATATTTTATTTTTAGCTAAACAATTTATAATGAAATATTAAATATTATATTTTTAGAAATTACACTTTGTACAAATGCATGTTACTATATCCTTCTAAGTTACTCCTTTATTTAAATTAACTATAAATAATCATATACCTTAAATTATAGAAAAAAACATTATTATTCATAGTATTGTAGGTGATTATTTCTTACCTGTAGAAAATTTTTACTCTATATATAAACGATGCCTAGTAATATACAGTGTTACAATATTAATACGCAATAAACTGTTTCCCCATATGTTAAGATTAGAATAACTATTTTTAATAATTAAAATACATCCAATAATTACATAAAATTTTCATAAAAAACTACAGTATAATATATTGATAATATTTTCTATTTTTAACTCTTTCAGATGATTGATCTATAAAAATAAATATTTATAAATATCTATATATTACTATACACGTACAAAATTAATAATATTTTAAAAATAACTTCATTTATATTTTCAATGTAAATACAAATTTGTAAAGTCTATTCATTATATAAATAATAGTTTTGCTAAAATATTGTAATTATCTACAATTAATTTAAATATAAATTATACGTCAATTTAAGAATTTTAATCGTATATATTAAAAATTTTAATTTGCAAATAATTCTAATTATTTAAAATCCAAATAATTTTGATCCAAAGAAAAATATTTAAAATTATAATACAAAGATAATAGAAATTGAAAGAAAGATTATGAAAAAAATAAACAAATAAATGATTGCAACAAATTTTAATTCATAAATATTTTTATTATTTTTCATGACAAATAAAGTAATAAGATTCGAACAGCAAAAACTGCATATTCCTGCATAATATAAATATATTAATCCTGGTTTATATTATGAATATAAATATTTAATATTATGTAACTTATTTTCATTTTAAAACATAAATTTAAGTTAATTAATCAATACTTGATTAAATTATATATAATTATAATAAAACAAGTGAAACTAAAGTATATTGAT